GGCAAACCTATCTTATGCTTAAGATACAATTACTAACGCCCGGTATTTTTACTAGCTCTTCTATACGTATACTATTAATTAGTAATTGCTACAAGTATTGCACTTTTCCATTCAAAAATTTCTGCTAAACAGATTTTTATTTCCGAAGGCGAACTCATCTTGCCGATATACTATGCAGTCTCTACTGTAGCTACCATTAATGCTTTTAATTTGTATAGACAGTCGTTTACTAAGAATAATCAAGGCACTCTAATGCAATCAATGTCGTTAATATTTGCCTTGCTAATATCATCGGTAACAAGTTGGAATAGCTTTGCAGTTGACAATTAGTAAAGGTAGGGTATTCTTACTAGCTCATAAATAGGTATAGGTATAGTAAATGAGCAATATTTACCGCAAGTACTGCACTTTTCTATCTAACAGATTTCTATCAAACAAATTATTTTATTTTCCTAAGGCAAATGGAATGTATTTTAAGCGATTGGTTGCTGTCACCAACTATCATAAAGATATTGAAAGAAATACAGTATACTCATATAGCGCCTGTTAATGCGTTTAATCGGCATATACAGTCATTTATGAACAATAGTCAAAGCACTCCAATCCATCCACATCGCTAATAATTTTTAGCCTGTGAAAGATACATTAAACAGGTTCGAACGATTTAGCAATATACAATATTAGTATCAGTAGGGTATTCTTGCTCTTTAGCAAATATGCATATATTAATTCGTATTCGCTAAAAGTATTGCACTCCACAAACTAAACATTTGCGAGGAACAATTTTGAACGGCTTGAAAGCAAATCGACAGTACCTTATTAATAGGCTATTGGTTACTATCATGCAAATGGCAAAAAGATTAAAAGGAATACAGTGGATAGTTCCTATTAAAGCTTTTAATCCGTATCGGTCGTCGTTTATGAAGAATTATAAAGACACTGTAAAGTAGTCGATGTCATTTATTCTGGTTTGCGAATACTACTGCTGTAGGCCTGTTTCAAACAGTATGTGGCATATCGCTTCGTAGAGATTATTTTTACTGGCAACGACTAGTAAATATGGATATCGAATAGCCTATAAGCAATCCGGTCATTTCTTCCTTTCTACGCTAATTATCTTGATATTTTTAGGCATGATAGTTTCACTCCTAGCAATAAGTTGTTTTTAAAATGCGTCTATAGAGAGTCTGCCACAATATCTAAAGTGTAAATCATTAACCGTAATTATGCGTGGCTACGGCTGTGTTTGCAAAGCATTACAACAATTATTTTACGGGTCTTCTGTATATATTTATTTACGACGATGTGCTATTGAATAGTTAAAATGAGTGAGTGATGATGAAGCAAGAACCAAACACATGGTGAATGATATTGTATCATTATAATGAAAATTATACGTTGGATAAATTTAGCGAAGTAAACACTACTAAAAATATACTTAACCATGGAGCTACTGTAACTAGTCTGACCATTTTAATTCGCTGACCTAGACTATGGTTTAATGGCTACACATTATATCGCATCACACTTTCAAATAGCCATTTACTGCATGTTAAAAACGGCGATCGTTAGCCGTTAATGTGCTGTATATCAATCAGCGATGAAACAGAAACAGAGCTTATCGATGAAAAATATTGCATGAGTCTATATCACGTACGATTAACTATTCTGGTTGATCAATGTTTGATCTGGTTTATATGGCTAATTGATCGAGATCCATGAATTCAAGATAGACTAAAAGTAAGTTCTTCGTGCCTAAATAAAATACCACTGCATAGGCATTCTATACCATAATCAATGCTTTCATAGCCTGGTAAAACATATTCATGTCCTCTCTATTGATGTATGTTAGTTAGCAAACCTATTTCAACTCTATCCAAAGCATCATTTCTGAGCGCATGTATGCTGAAAGTTAGTGTTTCCAATTTTATAATATCCATCACGCACCGAATTAGGCCAATTAACAACCAAAAAATAGAAACTCAATTATAGAACTCATCAATAAATGGCTTATAACATACAGGAACAAAATAGAAATCATAGTAAAAGAATGGCATTCTTTTATGGTGGTATTCCCATGTTCCTTTTAGATATGAAATCACATGATGTTGTTCTTCAAGATCATTATTTGATCAACTGGCTGTTGTTCTCTATTCATGCATCATCTTAAGCACGTCAATTTAATGTCAATAATTAGTCTCCATTCGAAGTGGAAAGCAACTCTTCTGATTTTATCCCTTTCACGGTCAAGTTTTAACATGATTTGAACGGACAATCTCCTTCTCGGCTTGACACAAATCAATAAGAATTATTCTAATAAAGAACAGACCTTAGGTCGATTAACATCGACGATCGATTCCTATTTTAGCAGACTTGATCTTGTCGCCATCTTAGGTAATCATTAATTCAAGTAAATTAACACTATGTAGCTTTGTTTCGCCTTAATAGCTAGAATTCAATGGCGCGATTATATTATTATTATTGCAATTATCCAATAAGAGACATCGACGCAACAGCGTAGCCGCCATATCTTTGTCTAAAAGGCCAACGATTGTTTGCCATGGCCTTGACGTGAATTATTCTTGTTTTTTATCGATTAATCTAGTCATGTTTAACACTAATACGTGGTAGACTATCTCGTCAACTCTCCAATATTGAATTAATCAGATTGGCAAGAAAAGTTCAATCCGTTTCAAAGACTAATTAATTGCTGGATAATTTACAAGCAACAACGTAAAGAAATTGGTAAGAGTTGATCCTAGTCGATGTTGTTTTAGCATAATTTAACGTTCGCCATCGAGCATATTATAAATTGTCTCTTTCTTTTAATAATGGAATTCGTTTGATAGTTAGAATCCATGTGTGGATAATTTTGAAAAAAAAAATTGACAAATATTAGTTCTATGCGCTATCCGCCATGTTAGCTAGGATTGATGTATGATAACGGTCGATGGACTGAGCATTTCTAACTTGATTTTAAATTCATTATATCATGTCAATGAATCTCTGTTAAGTCTTGACTTTTCTATCTTTAACTAATCTTGTCAATCAATCAAATTTGCCTATTCTTGCTAGAACAATTATCAAGTAATACGCGTTTCCGCTTGAAGTAAAAGCATTACTCTAATTCTTTTCTCTTTTCTATTCTACCAATGCTGCATTTTTTTTTGTTTTCTCTCCCAAATTCTTTTCTTCCCTATCAAATGATCTGTTTCGACTACGATTCCTCTTGCTTTTTATCCACAGCCACATTTTCCGTACATACTGTAGGGCAAACAGGCATCGACGCCTACAAGTACTATTTTACCCTCCAAATTTACACACCCATCTAATCACTATCAATAGCGATCAGCCCCACTATTAAATCCAGTTTGGCTACGACCATAACAGGAAGAAATATAAAATAATATTACAGCGGCATAGTAATCCACAATCGATAATGTCTAATTCAATATCAATCATTTGAAGCCTCAGATGCATAATCGCCATGTTGGTTACCCATTTTAATTATACTGATGAATTCATCAGGTTAGTTTAGTTTTGATCACTCTTCACGTCGATGCCATTCAAGCGGATCAATATCTGACGACCAAGATGATAAAATTATCAATCGTATTTGATAAAATGTGAACAATTTGACACTGTGGTCAATTTGCTTTCTAACTACCTTATATAGCGATATGACAGTCTTTGTTTCTCAACGTTATTTTTCTTCAACGATACAAGTCGTAATGCTTAATTGGATAGACTGTCCACTAGTAAAAAGGTACAATAAATAAGTCTATAGCGTCTTTATTTTACTTTTCTCTCGTTTTGATTCGATTATAAATACATTGAATTGAAAGGATGCTATACAAATTTCTATTTTTAAACTGAATCATTTTTTTTTTATTTTTGCAGTCCAATTTTTTTTGTCAACTTCTAAATCCTTCTCTTTTTTTATTTATTTCCTTGATAGCATTGAATACAGTTGATGAGATAATACAGAGAGTAAAGGAAAGTGAATAAAGTTGTTGTCGCGGCTGATCCTTTGATATTGATATAGATTCGTATTTGTGCGGATGGGGAAGGAGATACCTATATGCTAAATATAGCAACGGTCGATGCTATAAATTTCTATTGAGATTGGAGAGAGAAGAGAAAAAAATGGCAAACTAGGCTATTTTAACATTACTATTTGAAAATTAAATATTCTTGCCTATTGTCAACTTCATTTTATTTCTACTCTATCTATTGTAAACTTATAGGATAATACTATACTTTAAATATATTAAATTAATATTCTAGTTCTTTTCCAACTACTTGATACTCTATTAAAAAAATATATTTTTTGTCAATAGTGGCCTATATTCTATTCTGTAGATAATCTATCATTTCTATCAATTTATTATTCTTATTCTCTACGACGAGAACAAGGCCTATATCTTGCTTGCATTCTTTCTTTTTCTATTATTCATTACAGTCGACTGTATCGATAGATTCGTATAAACGCGTAGATATATAGCAGGTATTTCCACTTTCGATGACATCAAAATCAATTACTTGTACACCTGGTGTCTTCTATAAAAATCCTAAACTATTTACAACCGATATTACTGTCGTCTATTGACTTTTACAACGTTTTGACGTCGATTTTTTCACTCTACTTTCCATCCACCTATTTCCAATTGACTTATTCTCACGCACCATTTTGGCTTTTCATTCTATTACACTGTACTATTGCTGTTGATAATTTTAATTCTATCCATCCATCGAATTGCTGTCTATACCTATCATTAAACTACATATTACGTGAAAACTTCGATATAATCAACTAAGAAAGATTGACAATCAACATTTTTTGGGGTATTTAGATACAACTTTATGCTCTCGTTTTATATCTACTTGATCCAATTGAATTACTCTATTTCATTTTTCTTTTAAGTATATACTGTAAAGATACGAAACGTATTCTTGTAGATTAATTGACAACAACAAATTCTTACTACAACTACTAAAATATGGCTACTTTCTTGGCTAAACAAATGATTTCCAATAAAACTAGTGCATTAACTAAAAGTGCTTCTAGTAACAATTCTGGCGGTGGTGGCAGTGATAATAGTGAAAACGCCATGGAGCACGAAGAATTTTTGAAGCAACAAGAAGAAGAACGAATGGCACGCTATGTGGATAGAGAGAAAAAACGTGAAAAAATTCGCGATAAAATACGTAATAAATATAACTTAGAAAAACGTGATTACTTAAGCATCGTCGATTTAGAAGCCACTGCTCCAAAAAAGGATTCATCCAAGTCTAATTTCTCATCACGTATGGATAACTATTCTAATGAAGGTTGCTTTCGTCGAATGCTGCGGTGTTGCTGCCCATGTTGTTGTCGCCGCTAATACAATCATTCTACATGACCAGTTTCATAAGCAAGTAGGAGCTATTCGTTTCTCACCTTTCTTGATATTGGATATTTTATAAATTACAAATTTAATACAACAACGATTATTATCATCAACTATATCAATTTTTAAATATGGTATCCTAAAGCTGTCTAAAACAAACTAGAAAGGTTAGCAATTATATTATGCTATCATTTTGCTTACCTTTTCTTTTTCTAGTCATGCTAATCATTTAACCGATGAAAAATTTTAAATGTTTTTTCTCTCACGCTTTCATTCTTTTTTTTTCGTTTACTTTGTGTTATTCAATCGTCAAATTTCTATCAATTTATGCCCGATATAACTGTTTATTCGCTATACATTCAAACCTATGTTACTGTATATGTCGATGATTGCTATGACTAGTTGATACCATAAGGAAAGCAAAAAATCTCCCGTATTTAATTCTTCAAGCCATGATTAACATATTGGAACAAATTGTTGCAATTTAAGTAGAAGATCAAAATAAAAAGAATATAAAATATCAATAAAATAACAAGGATGTGCAATTGATTGATGGTTAGCATCATTATGGCAGACACACCACGAATTGTGAGGGCTATCTTGAACTATAATCCATATCTTATGTCTAAGGATAAGCCTTGAAAGTGAAATGTTCTTATTTATATACAATCATGGTAGCGAGAGTAATTTTTTTCTACCAGTGATTTATCGCATTGTGATTAGTAAAAACTATAGACGTATACTTAATGCTAGTCCGGTATCATATCGTCATTCTAATATAAATCTTGAATATCTATCGATTCTTGAATGTGTTATCCAGTAAAGTCCATGGCTTTTGATACTATTTTCAAGACCTTTTCTATGTGGTAGAAATACCACTGATTGATGGCTATAATGAAGTGGCTAACCATCAAAATCGAACCAATAGAATGTAAATACCTAGCATGAATTGGGAAAAATCCCGCTAATTTATTCGTATCGGATAATTACAGCTACATATGCTAGTGCCTAGTGATGTATAATCTTGTCCTATCGGATTTTAATTTTTTTCCCATCCTAATCGACGCAGTTGATGTAGTACATTGAATTAGCCCAGCATTTGTTAAACATTTAGCTTCCATTTACATGATCCTATCATCACGTTACTAGGACATTTTACCTCAGTTGTCAGTAATATCTAATTTAAATTAAGAAGTAATAACTAAATTCTAACCTATGCTACGGCTATTGCAGGTTAGATTTCATCATAAATCCAAATCGAAACTACAGTTTTAGATATCCATTAATGCTCATTAAAGCACTTGTCAATAGCCCCAGTGATTATGTATTATTAGTTCTATCACATAATATAACATAATTATCCCTTCGATATACGGGAAATAGTACAATACGTTGAGGATAATCGGATAAGAGAAAAATACTTTGAGCTTTTACTATTGACCAATGCCGATCATGTAGACGGCTAATATCAGAAATCATGTTTAAATTTACATCCATTGACATAATATAGTGATCAATAATACAATCCTTAAATTATTTGCATTTTGGAGTGGCGTTATTACTTTTATTTTAGTTCCTTATTAACCCTTCCCCAATCCCCAAGATGGCCTTGATCCGTAAACGTCTATGAACTGACGAATACCAATATTGAAGTACTCAACTATATCAATTATGGCGATCATAGTTACAATTTTTAAGGAGGAGTTCTTTGCTTCGGTTGTTATAGCTTCAATTTAAATCTGCACTACGCCACAGCCGTTTTCAGTTAATCAAATGGAACAGAACTACTTCGACCAGCTGCTAGTCAGCAATAAGAAAAATTGAAAGATCCTTCAAATTATGGCGTCGCCAGGTGGATACGAATAGGTAGATATGCTGTGAATTGGACATCATAAAATGGAATTAGACATTTTTCCTAGTAAGTAAAAAGTAGTTGCCTTCCAAAAATCAATTTCTTCTCTGTTGATTTGATCTAACTGAGACAATAAGATAGCACAGCTTTTAATAAAATAAAGACGCTTAATATTAAAGTAATTATTATTACCATAACAACATTCTTTGTCTAGATATCATAAATCATCACTACTGCTCTAGTTTGTCGTAATAATCCCAAATCAATCTAATTAAACAGATATGCTCGCTCTTGATTACAGTTAATAGCTTATAATCTCTTATCCGTATTTTCTCGATCTTCCTTCATCCTCTTGGATGAAAATTACACTTTCTATTGCATAAACTATTGGCTTTTGTTCTTTCTATAGGTTTTATTTAGTTAATTTTTAATTCTTGGTAATAATATAGTCTATGAAGTAATAGATAATAGAGTTTAAGCTTAATGGTCATAATTACGTTTCAACATCTGCTTTCACTTCTTCTGTTGCTAAGGTTGATGGATAACATTACAACGCCTTAAGGTACTTTATGTAGTTCAAGTGAAAGGAGCAATGTAGACTTGAATTAAACGAAAATTTGTATTAAAAAAAGAAATTTTACACGGTTATATGAAAAAATCAATGCACAAATTGTATTTTTAAAAGCATAAGGACTCTGTCTTGACGCTCTACCAACCTGCTTCTACGTATGTAATATTGCAAGTAATGCTAAGATACGCTAATTTCTACATTATTACTATACGCAATCACTGCGTTATAAATATAAATAAAAACTGCAATTGTACGTCAGCGATACTCTTAATATAATTCATTTCCCATGTATCTTACTAAAATATTAGAGATGAAAAAAGTTAAAGAAAGGACATCTTTTCGATGAAAAGGTTTTCATTTAAGAAATAATATCAGCAGTGTCATGGTCTAAGTTTATAAAGTTCCATTTTTTTTTGCAGTGAGTAGTTCTTGATCGAGAACAACTGATAATAATATGTTATAATAAAGTTATTAATTTAATTCACCATCTTTTCTTCTTAACTTCTTTTGCATCGAGTAAGAATATATGCAGATAATGTGAAAGCCAACCTAGTCGGCAACGTGCCTACCTGGTCTTGCTAACATGATAGACTAGTTTTAGAGTAATTATCCTAAGTGAGCTTTCTAGATATTCACCCGAGATGCTTTTACCTTTGAACAGAAATAGCTTCTATTGGGGGTAAAGCTATTTTCTGATGGATGCAAGTCCTATTATCGTTTGCGTAGATTATTTCTCCTTTACGTGATGTCGTATTTCGTAAGCTATAGCAGAGATTCTTCAAAAGAAATAAAATTTCGATAGCTAATTTTTGAATTTGCGAAGAGATTCATTATAATAACAACAGAGAGGGACATCATTTGCCGTGGTGATCTGTTACATTGTTTTGACCGTTTTAAATTTTTATTCATATATGAATTGATAGCCTGTCAAAGAAATATGAAGCATTAGCTAAATTGCGCAATCTTGTGGTAGATATTGATGAGGGTTTAAATTCAACCCTTGACTGTATTTTTAAAATCACTGTATTAATTCCAAAAGCTTTCAGGCTAGGCCTTATCCTAGAGAGGAAAATTATGCTCCATATTGCATCACTAGCTGTGGCTAACACCAAAAGGTGTATTAGTATTTGCTCAATTTATGCTGATGCCATATTGTTAATGTTATAATTAACGAGGCTTTACCAATTAGATATACTTTAAAGTTAAATGTAGCTTTCAACTGGAAATTTGGAAGCAATTTAACATGTATCTACGAAATTTTAAAGAATTATTTAGGATTCCAGATTAGGAGCTACTCTAAGGATAAACTAAGATTTTCCATTTTAACAGAGCATATATACAAGTATGTATTATCATGGAGAGAGCGATCATTCAGAGGATCATAAATCTTTGTTAGAACAAAAATATTAGCTACTAATAGAGTAACCCATCTTCTTGTTGACGGTTTAATTTAAAGCAAGGAATTCTAATTGGACTCCATTTGCTTAGATGATAAGGATATATAGGTTATATATATAAGAAATGGGCACTTGAGCGATGACAGGAGTTGTATAGAAGTTGGTATACATCTGTAGAGCAAATAATGTTATTATCTGCCGAGAGATTCTTTTATTAATTATAATCAGCGCTATATTTTAGTAAAATATCGTTATTACTTACTTAGTTCTGTCTCAATTTAGTTCTAAATCAATTTTACCACAAATCTTAAGAGAAGTAATCAATAAAAGAGTTTCCTTAACAAATGCAGCGAAATCAATATAAAGTGATAAAGGTTGTGATTTGATAACCTCCAAAAACCCATTGGCGATTTATTTCCACCTACATTGCAATTAGTAAGACCAGATTATACGCAGTAATGCAAAAGTGGATAAATTCTATAAATAAATTTTGAAGGCAACAAGGCTTTTAAAAAGTCAGTAGACATTGGTTACATACATTTACGCAATATCACCTTCGAATCAAGCAATGTTAGAAGTCCCCATGAATAATATTGAAGTATTTACTGTCCAATAGGAAATATTTAAAGGAGAAACGGGATATAATTTTAGTAATTTGATTATGAAATAGCTTTATTATCAGTGAAATTAGCTACTAATAACTAGCGCGACGTATTATTACATTGCTGGTACTTGACAACTCTGTTGATATCAAAATGTTATGATTTTAGGATTGTATCTTCTTCAGAGGATATTTCTTCCTTCTGTTGTATTAAACTTTTTATTATTTGAAACACGTAAGGGGCGTACATACAGTATATGCTAAGTCGTATAGGTAGATTTCATTATTTGGATTATTTATACGTGCTTTCACGAAACTGATTATAGTTAGATTCTTTTCTCAAGGGATAAGGTGGCATGCTAGCCTGTTTTGACCATCTCAGACAGTATGCTTAATTGTATTTCTATCATGCTTTCTACCCTATCAAAAAAGAAGAGCTCGCTGTGAAACTTTGACGATTTTATACACTATCTATGTTTAATTTTAATAAATGCTTCGCGTCAATCCAACCTACACTGTTCAGGATTGTAACTTATACAGCAATATCTGGGTATACTCGTACGTGCAGGTATTCCATACAAATCTGATGTACTCGTACATTGACAGATTATGCTAGGAGTGATTTTCATTTCAAAAAACGCTCGAAAATAAAGCTAATAATAGCATATACATCGCATCACCTCGATACCCATGTGCTAGAATCAGTTTTCTATCCTTTCTTTCGTGTACTAGCTTTACTACGTAATTTTACCCTAACATTACTTAGAATAGTTAACGCAATAGAGAAAGGAAAACTATCATTTGAACTTTGTACAGCGACATACAATAATATTTTATATCGGCAACAAGGTAATCTTTTACAACGCCCGAATCTTATTTATAAGTGAAAACGAAAATCAATCAATGCTTTATTTTTATAATCGTTAAATAAACGCTTCTTGGGAGTCTACAAGAATTTAAAATTGAGCTACAATACATAGTGGACTTCGTGAAATTTTGAGCTAAAGGTAAACTTGTGGAATAAGTTAGATTTATAGGTTGTATAGATCATCCAGAACATTATCATAGCCAGTAGGATACACGCATCACCATATCTGTTAGCAAACGAGTACGTAAAGAGTTGCATTATATACATACACGTTATGGTACAGTTTCAAAATTGTACGCAAGTTTTCACGAAATTGTGTATGCTATCCTTTTGCTAAGGCATTTCTGCTAATGTTGAGTTATAGATCTTAAGTGAATTATTCTTCCATTATGCACAAAGGTTATATCCTAAAATTATCATGCAATAAATTATTCATTACAATTAATTAGTGAAATGTTAAAAGTTAGTAAATAAGCAAAGGTCAGGTTATAAATACAATAGAAAGTCATACCAATTAGTTTTACCTATAATAATAGTATATATTAAGCTTATAATAGCTTATTTATGTTGCATCCGTCAATGATTGTGCTATAGAAAAGCAATTTTGAACTGTAAAGAACAGTTCGTTACAACATAGATAACGTCGTAGACAATAGCCCTTATATACGCTACTTTAGTTGACTAGCAATCTCTACGCGTGCATGCTTACTAAACATCATTAACTCTACTTTACCTACAATCAGGCAAGCATTACTCAAACAGCAAAAACTACAATAACGATGATTTAATTTTATAATCGCACATCTGAATCAAACAAAACCAGATACGTCTAAAAATTTGGTTTACATGAATTTACTGCATATTTATATTGCAAAAACCTAACACCAAACGTGCTACAACCGTCAATCATGTATGAGCATTAAAAAGCACAGAAAACTATCCAAGCATGTTGCCAGAACATGACATCCATCAGTATTTCAGTTAATATTTAAATAGCCAACCAAATACAGTAGTTCCTTTTAATCTCATGAAACTGATATTAACTAATAAAAATGGTATAAATGTTTACTTGAATTCTTTATAATGGATGGCTCACTGCATTACCTGTTTGAGCCAATTAATACAATGAATAAAACATCTACGTTGACTGACATCATTACATGATTTAGCATTTTATTCCAATAATTTTATTCCACGATTCGCTCCCTCCATTTATTAATCTTTTAGCAAAATTTCACTATACTTTTCTTGCTCTGCATATTTTAGAGAAGCCTTGGCAGCAACCCGCTTTAGTTGTCCATCCCTACATAGTTATTAATTAATTCGAATTTATTATTTCCGAAAGCTGTATTAAATTGATTCATCCAAGATAATCACTGTAATCATGAAAGAAGACTTTGCTAAAAACGACAAGGCAATATCAGCTTACCAGACTAGGTCAACTAGTCCCCCTTTTTCGGCAATCTCAGCTTTAACACGGTTAGCAAATTCGGTTGCAGTTTCATTTTCCTGAATAATATTAAAGGAATCGTCACTAAGTATTGGTGGCTATCATAAGCTACAAATAGTAAAACTAGTATCGCAATTTGAATACATTATAAACTTGTATGATATTTGGTTTCAATACTAGCACAAACTATTACAACATCAACTATCATACCTCCATTTTTCTAGGAGGTAAATACCAAACATCGCATACTATGGCCCAGCTTGTAAGCATCATAACTAAATATTGAACCCAGCTTTCACGACTCGAATTCCAAAAAGCATCCCCAAACGTAGGATCATACTGACGTTTTTTTCATCATCAGTAATTAACATAATACTTATTAGGTTTCGACAAGACAGCCATTACATATTATCGGTAGTACGGTATAGCAGTTACAGTACCTTAATAGCCGCTGGGTGAATTGTTCCACCAATTTCGAAGGAACCTTTCTTAAACATAAATACAGACGTGTTGTTGATGCACGTACCTGTTATCGGTCATGAAAACAAAAAGGAGTTGGTTAAATCAAGACCGTAAGAAAGATTATTTATTGATTGGTACTAATGTAATATCGGATATAAAATCAATACTACATTTGTAGTTATTCCAAATCACTAACACCATATTATTTCATGAGAAGTACTGTACTATATTACATCGAAAAGCTTCGTTTTTAGAAATCAATAAAAAATTAGAGTAACAGTTATTGAACAGCAAGACAAATTTAATATAAAGTATAACAGGATGAACAACAACTTGCCTTCTGGAAATATTAACATTGGGTCCAAACTATGGTCCTCAACGTGTTCTTTTAACCTTCATACAATCAAGATGAATGTAGAAGTTACACAAGTCTAATCTTAAGTTAGTAATGTGATTTTAATGAATTTAACCTATTTGTCACAGTCATTCGATCCCTCATTTCAGATCTTTCAAACCAAACATGAGATTGAGAACTTGAAAGAATTCTTTGCACTGTCCCTAAGAAGCCACCATGAATTTGACCTACCTGTACTCAATTAAGGATACAAGACAAAAAAATTGAAGTCTTTAGAAATTACAGATGACAATAGCTGAAGTGAGCGTTCAAGTGTTCTGAATGAAATTATTGCACAAGTTGAATTCAATCCATACCATAGCATAGCAATTATCGGTAGATAAAATAAGAACATCAATTGGTGAAGTATGATTTGCAACACAAATTCCACCACCTTTAGCTCGATTTTCTCTAGAAATAATGACATTATCAACTGATATGTTAGCGTGAATGAATTTAGAGCAGTCAGGCCTAGGGAAAACTGCAAGTTGCTAATATCTTTAGATATTCAGAAACTGACTATGGTAGTATCCAGCTATTAATGGATAGTGGAGTTGACACTTGTATACGCATACAAGTCCATTCGTGTTTGTGTCCTAGTAATAATTGTTACAATAAAGGCCTCAACTACAGTATCATTGCATACCTATTGTGTACTCTAATAGAAGCAGAGATTGCACGCGCCAGTACGCGAAAGGCAATAAGGTAGGCGTAATGATTTAGCTTCGTTTGTAGGCTAAAGGTAGTGATAAGATTAAATAGATAATACAGATTACATTAGAATTGAAGGTATAGTGTAGAATAATAACATGATTATTAGATAAACAGACGAACTAGTATTAATTAATTATTAGCGTAATCCATACCTAGATTTCGGTAGAAACCCAATCAATGTCGTGGCTAAGCAGAGCCAAAGTAATCCCAAGCTTAAAATGGTAATTCTGGATAAGCAACAGTAAATATCAAATTAATACGTTCTTCACCAGTTGTAGGTTTATAATAGATTATACGAGAAAATATCATATCAAAGTTCAAGTAATTCATACAGTTGCATTAAGTAACGAGAATTAAAGTTCAAGAATTCAAATTACTCATTTTACCTGACAGGCAAGAAAATCAAGTAGCGGATACACCATCCAATGATCCACAGTATAGTTAAGCGGAGACTGTCATTAAATTAAAAAAATATAGTTATGTTAACTTGCTTCTATAGAGCTAGCAAGCCTTATAAATTTCATTATTATAGTACGTGCATAAGTCAAAGGCATGCTTACAACTTTAATTGTTTGGCCAAAAAAATATAATAATATGCCCATAAAGTAAAACCAACCTTATATATTCGTAGTTTTTATTTGTTCTAGTTAACAAATTCCAAGAAGGCAATTCTAGGCAAAGGTAGAAAAAAATTAAACGCTACTCTATGATGAAGGGATAAAATAGAGTGCAAAGCTAACTTTAGAGTACATTTAGTAAAAAGGTATGACGTAAATTAAAATCATTTGATGAAATACGTAATTTTGAAAACAAGTAACAGAACAGATTAGACTATTCTTGCTTTGGTGAACTATTATAGCGTTCAGGGGACGCCAAGTAAGGCAATATTATTAAATACGAGTGTAACACATTCAATACTGTGCGAATGGAACGATGTCATCTGCTTGTAATGAATTCATTGTAGCACTAGTGATGCTACTATACTCGTATTGTACTGTACCTTCAGCTGAAAAACATTTGGTGATTTCATCATCAACGATGGCCTATATTATACGTTAAATAAATCCTATTAGATTTTACGATATCGATAGAAGGCTAATTGGATTCTTGGGCAGTAAAGAATTATTGAATGTGTGCTATCCGTTCGTAACTACAAATTAATATACGATTTGAGTAGAACACTATTTTTCATAACTAAAAAGAAGGGCTATTATTCAAATGGGAATTTTATACATCAAAATCTTACTTGCATGCCACAAGCGGCAAAAGACAGCATATCGTCTAGACTAAATTTCTTCTTGTTGGTATCGTTTTCACTTAGCATTCTGCTGGGTAGTGATGGCACAGGGTGTTGATCGCTTTCATCCCCTATATGGTTATCACAAGGATTGAAGATCTTATTGATAAAAGCTATTGCGATGTAACACTATTCAGTTTCTACAGTCTAGTGTATTGGTTATCTGACAACCTTTGAGAGTAGACTTTCAAAGTTGACAGTGACAATATTATCATTGCTATTCCTTGACTATATATTGGTAATTATTCGGCTATCCTCTTCATGAAAGATATCAACGATTTACACAAATGTATTGGTTATCGGACAACCTTTGAGAGTAGACTTTCAAAGTTGACAGTGACAATATTATCATTGCTATTCCTTGACTGTATATTGGTAATTATTTGGCTATCCTCTTCATGAATGGTTGGAAAAAAACAACAGTTGCTTAAAGACTAACCATATTGTTCATCGTCATGGCGTTTTGTACGTTCGATCCTGCCTCGTCCGAACTAAATACATTATAGTTAACATTGATCTATTAGCACAGGAAGCACTTAACAAAGATATTCGATCAACTTCATCATTACAGCAAGATATAAGAATGGTGGTAAACTACTACAATATTAGTTGTAGTAGGCGATTGTATGGACTGAATCAACGATAAGCAAGTAATTGGATATTGCAAAGTTATCGCTTGCTTGATGGAATACTGTACGCATAGAAATACATTGTGTACAGTTGGAGCTTTAAGCATGTTTCCATGAGTATAGCGAAAAGTAATCATCATCCATTTGTATAGTACTGTAATCATTTGACTATCCATACAGTCCATGATAGGCTACTAAGCACGGGCATCCTTTGACTAAGAGCTCATGGCTATTTAATGCAATGTTGGGCGTTGATAAAGTTGAAAATTGTGCAGGTAGCATCGTAGCGCTTTTTTTTGTACTGGCCATAAATAAATGAGAAATGTCTATACTTTTTTTATCACAATTATAATATTGACACAGCGAGGTCGGGATCAAGAGAAACACAGATTGAAATTACAATTAGGGTAATTAAAAAATAGTTAGATAAGGTGATGAAATCAAGGTGTTTCAAAACTTGGCGAATCGATATCGAAATTGTACAAGATCAAAGCTGACAACGCCATTCGTTGTTGACCAACGCCATCGTTTCTTTGGCAAGCTATCCTTGCAGTTTACCTACACTGGATGGTCGTTAAGCGCGAGCGATGATCACAGTATAAAACTATGTCACTGACAGGTTGAATGATACAGTAGGCTAGTCTGCATCCTGCGCCGGCTTTGCATGTTGAACTAAGTGAAATAATACCAACAGTATGTGATCAATTTACCTCGAAAATTTTACGCAATGTATTGACGTAGCAATCACGAACGCCAAAAGAAATATTCAGTGATGCTGGTATAACCACGATCGTTAAGATTAAAATTAAGGGAATACCAAGCAGAAAGAGCAACATGATGATTGTTGATTTATTGCATCCGCTTCGACAGATTGGAACGGTTTCGTCTTGACTCAGGACCAGCCGCTCACCTCTACAGTGGGTGAGGCGTAGCTTAGCATCTAGTTTTAATACCTGCCCAACAGTTTGTTTTTCACAGTACTTAATACGCTACTACGGACAGTCAAAAGTACTGTACACTGTACACATCAAGTCTGTGAAACAATTTGCGCCTGTTGTCAAGATGGCACAGTTTTAGTGGCGTAGTCGAATGGAAAAATTGCCGTCTCAGGACTATATTTGACTTCAAAAAGAGAGATATACTTTGAGAAAATGTGGCTTGAGAAGTGGGAACAAAAATGAGAGAGTCTTTGGATCAACTTGAAAGAACTCCTGCTACACATACACCACTGAGTATGATCCAAACGATGGTCAAGACTGACTAGTGAGCAAAACTGTCGCTCATGCAGTACTGTACAGTGTAGAGTACAGCACAATCTAGTATTCATTTTAGTAGGACAGACTACAGGAATCATCCCTCAACATGCGCTAAGTGCTAACTGACTTTTCAACTTGCAACCATGTTCAATCTTGTTGTCTTGGTCATGGTATCACTATAGTATTCATGGCAGAAATTCCCGGTATTACCACGTTTTAAGCGTTGTCGATGATGGTCGCCATATTTTGGGGGCACTTTTTAGCAGTACGATTGCGATCTGACTTGTCACAATTGTGTTGAACGTTGAATCCAATCGACCGGTGTGACAAACACAGTTGGTTGACCTTTGCCGTGTGAATCTTGGTATTGTACTCTACTGGCGTTTTCAACGACGCCGTGACCGTACATTACACTTGACCGTCATTGAGGGTCACCCGTTCATCGACACAATCACCGGTTGAAACAACATGATAAGGGGGCGACAACGTTGTTGACTTTGCAGTACGTGGGCATAGGTAAACTCACATCAATCGGTGATTGACTTGGATGAATGTGTGACACCAAGATGATTCAGCCGATCCATGGACGACTGACGCTATCCCGAGGAGTGTGTCACTGAGTAGAATCAACCGATTGACGGGTGATTCATCCCATTGTTCATGCCATGGCTCAAAATGTCCGAGCTCGTAGAGCAAGCAATTGCAGCAATGGCAGATGGACAGTCCAAGGAGATGGATAGCAGGAATAAGCCATTCAAAATGGCCAGATGGTGTTTGATCCTGGAAAGGCTATGACCGTGTTTAATGGCATGTATTGTAGTCAACAAAGAATGCATCGTTTAAAGCTATAAAATCCAATGGGATACGATGCAACGTAGACGACTTATTCTTCGCATGGTCCCTTCATGCATGCAGTAGCAGAGAATTGAAAATGACAATGGTGTAGTAATAATTGACGATGCTCGACTAATCCATCATTTGAATACATAAAATGACTACATTGAAATCGGATCGGATACAATGCAGTAACTTATAGAATAGAGAATTCAAAATAGTGAGGTGGTATAATACAGGCACGTCGATTACTTCATACATTGAGTAGTCGATCATTCTAGCCTTTGGGTGAATACTCACATATGAAATCGGATCAGATAGAATACACTAACATGAAATTGATGATGGAGATGGTGTGTGTGTGTGTGTGTTATAATAGGATTGCTCTGCTTGGCAAATTGAAGAAGGGAAAACAAGTCGAGGAATACAAGAAGAAAGCGTTGATTCGTTGCAGAGCGGATGCGTAAACAAATAATCTTCATTTGCAAAACAGTCTCCTTTTATGCTTGCATATGCTACGCCATCATTAGCCAGTTGGTATACAGCATATCACATCACTTACTTAATACAGTATCGCAGTACTTGACGATTATGGATGCTATCATCAAGTTTCAAGTGAATGTCTGATAATACGCATAAATTAAATGGCATAACATCATAGACTACTCGACTAGATGTTATAGCAATGATTTTATTACATGAAATGACTTGTACGAAATTGCATCTGATACAATGCAGTAACATGGAATTGAAAATGACCGGGTGATACGATAAATAAATATCATATCATGGACTACTACAGTACAGATACTAGAGTAGTTGATCATTTTAGTACTTGAAACAACTAGTATCAAATCGGAGCTGATACAATTAAGTAGCATGCAATTGAAAATGGCGTGGTGGTGTAATTATTGTCATCGACTACTCGATACTATACAATCTCACCATTTTAATACATGAAATGGCTGGTATCAAATTGAATCGCATAGAATAAACTAGCAGAGATCGAAAAAAATGACGAGGTAGTATCATAAAATGATGGCCAACTAGATACTATGGTAGTCCATGATTTTTAGAATGTTTAATCCACGAAATGATTAGTATCAAATCTGATCTAATAGAATACAGTAACATCAAATTGAAAATGGTAGTATGATGCAGTAAAACCGTGCCATACTAGATACTATAGTAGTACATGATTTGAATATATGAAATGACTAAGACTAGCATTTATACCAATCTGGTCAATTGCAGTAACAAACATTTGTAATGATGAGGTGGTGGTGGGTGAATATCATAAAGATCAATTTAATATCATGGACTGCTAGATAGGATAGTGTAATGGTCCTTAACCGTCGTTCAATGGTGATTTTAGAGCTAAACATATAAAATGGAAATATTTCTATTCTGTTTTTAAAATCTTGCTGTAAAATTCTTGCTCTTTCAATCGAAATGATTTCTTAACATTTAATCTTTTCAATTGTCCATCCCTTAAAATAGTTTGGAAAGATACGTAAAATATTAGTAATATACTTATTATACTATATTTACTTTATTCAATAATTATATAATTTACGCTAAAGGCGAAATGATAGAATGATGCAATAAAAATGGAAGCTAGATCCACAGCTATATGTTTAACTGTAATACATACTGTATATGTTATGTATAGAGATAATATAATTAATCTACTGAATGCTACTAAATCTATGTAGTATACCAAGGCAAATTAGGTATTTGTCCGTGTTTAGCAATCTCGGTTTTGACTCGGTTGGCAAAAGCGATAACGGTTTCATTTGGCTAGTGTTTAATTACCAAAGTGTAGAACGATGTTACGACGTAAATAATTTCATATACTTTAGGAAATAGCTATGAAGCACGTAATAATACACTTAAACTACTGATTATTTCTCATTAATCAATTTATAGGTTGATCATAAATATTATACAATTCGTTTACCTTGATTTTCGCCGGTGGTAAGTAGTGAACATTGCATACTAAGCCCCAACAAGTAAATATACCAATAAGATATTTAAGCCAACCTTTAGCTAAAGAGTTCCAATAGATATCACCAAACATCAGGTCATACTGTATTGATTTATTAGGATACAAAAATAATCAAAATTAGCAGCAGCTATAAACTTAGATCATGTGATAAAAGCATGTTAGCGTATCTTATAAAACTACAAAGGCTTGAAACTCTTGTACTATTCTAAATTTATTTGCCGAGAAGAAAATGCTATCAACTTATCACTGGATTTTTGATCAAATTATTAGATGATAACTATCTAAACAATTCTACAGAATACAATACCTCCAAGGCTACAGGATAAATTGTGCCACCAATTTCAAATGCACCTTTCTTAAATAGCAATACACCTGTGCTATTCACGCATGTACCTACATCAAAATATATGAGAGCGCATTTAAGTCAACTGAGATTGCTCCTGCTTTATGAGCTTGACTAGATATCTGCAAACCTTCTGGATAAATTAACAACGGGTTCAAGGTATCGTCTTTAATATGTTCCTTCATCCTGTAAATATTATTAGCCAGTAGATAAAAATTATAATTAAATATTTATGTTTTAAGTTAAATTACCACTAAAAATAGCTTTCTTTATTGGGTCATGATGGCAATATAACTATACCTTCTACATAGTGCTTTTCTGTCATTGGCTTCAGATCTTTCGAATAAGAGATGGGATTTGTTATACATAATACTCTTAATCAAAATACCAAGTAGACCACCTTGTTTTTGTCCTACCTGTTAGCATGGAATAAAATAACTCTTATCTTATTGCTATCTAAAATAATTGAAAGCAGTTTACTAAATTAATATATACTGTATTTAACCACTGCTTGGGTTAACTTTCGACAATATTTCGATCTTGCATGAAAAAATCAGAAAAATTAATAACGTATCAAAGCATCGCACTGATCTCTTGCCAATATTATTCTATCGTATCATATTGCAAACTACTCTACATTCTTGGATTAAATTTCATTTGGATGTCTTATGAAAGTAAATTGACTATCTCTTAAAATTGCATCTTTAACGCCGTTGTAGTGTAGTTTCGATCTTACAACAAATAAAATTAATAAAATAATAGTGACTGACCATAGCATAGCATCTATCTCTTGATAAGACTACACTATCTAGTGGTGATGCATGATTTGTTACACAAACTCCACCAACTTTAGCTCGATTCGCGCGCGCTAGAGTTCGGAACGTTGTTAGATAGGCAAAATTATGCAGCTTTCTTTGTAATCTAAACAATAGTCGTAATAAATCTCGTTTGAGATTGATCTAGCGATAGTTTTGATCCGCTATCCAAGGACAGACAGCGAATACTGATTTATAAAATAGTGTTATTCAATATGGATTACCCAGTATTTACAGGCAATAAACAGACTGTAACTGTCGTGAGAAAGAACCAGATGAGTGTTATGGCGAAAAGTATAGTTCTATCAAAGTATAGAATGTAAATATCTTGGTTAATTAACATATCGTAATTTAATTATATGATGATATTAAAATGATAGAAAGACACAAGATAATGATATAACACAGAAAATAGCATTTAGTTTTAAACATTTTATATATTTATACCTTATGGGTAAAAAGAGAGCATATCGAATAATTATGCCAAGAATCCATAAAAGCGTTAGGCGAAAGCTTAAAATTGCCGTAAAAGTATTATGTGGTTAATAATTACAATTAAACAACGCATCATATATGCGATGGTCTATGATTACGGCATTATAAGGACGAAAATACACATGGTATTTATATAATTGACATGATGAAAATATAGGAGTATATTTAAAATGATATATTAATGCCATCTACGAATGAAAGTGTAGCAGTAGTAATATAAAGTTGGAACTTATTATAACTTACTCTTTAAACTGATATTTCTTCTTTGTTCTTGTTAATAAATTCCATGAAGATAATTCTAGCTCATGAAAGTTGAAAATGTTTTAATCAATACTATCAGACATTTCACTACAGTAAAAAAGATTACTAGCGTATAGATTATGACGTTTTTAAATAATGTAAAGTATTACCTGTTGCCCAAAATCGTGGCAAGACTTCATCATCTACGATAGCCTACAAGTCCAGGAAATCAAAGTTTCATAATTGCTTAAAGTTATCTGTAGTTTATAAATAATATAGAATACTGCACTGCTAGAAATCTTTTATTTTAAGACCTAGAATGGAAGAAATGATGGATTACGATCAAGAATGGGTACTAGCCTAGTAAACTACAGCAATAAAATTTTCACAGGTATTTTAAATCGAAATTGCGCTATAGCATGAAAACTGATGGAATTTACTTTATATTCTACTATCTAGCACATCTTATAAATATTACTATGTCACGTTCTGTAATAGTTACATAATTAGTATGTTACCTTCTTTCTATATATGGTTAAATATCACGATGTTATCACGTCAGGCGTATATAGATGTAGTTATGGTACTATATTAAGGTTACCTATATATGTATTCTCATGTTGCCATACTTGGCATGATAGTCTATTTGTAATGACTAAACTAGGGAAACCTTTCTGTTAGTGATGATCTTGTGATCTACGTCAGTAGATCAAAGGTCACAATAAAGAAAGTATATAAACTCTTCATTTTAACAATAAAGTTAGTTCTTCAACTTAATTACTGGGTCTCCTTGCTGAGTGCAGATCTAGTACTTGTTACAAAATTTGGAAATTGTAACATACTACCATACGTTAGTACCATGATATTCGTAGATTTAAATAAGCTGTAGAAGTAAGTTTGTTAATAGTAGATTTATATCGTAGCATGTGATCGTAAATCATCTTAAGTAAAGCCATATAAATATGTGCAATTATATAGATGTTTCAATATACGCACGCAATAAAGTTAATTTGTTATGCTTAGCTACATATAATGAATGATAATAATAGTCGTATATATCTGATATTACTAGCTTGCAGAGATATTAAGATGATGCACTAATACTTGCAGTTAGCAAATTAATTGACTAGATTGTAAATTCGTAGTCCATTCCTACCTGCATACCACTGGCAGTAAAATTCATGATATGATCTATATTAAAGTCTATCTTGTCTTTCTCATTGTTAAATGTTTTGCTAGGCAAAGAAGGCATTTTCAGCTGTGCATCATGTATTTCTATGGAAAGCATAATTTATCAATTAAGAGTTTATTTTGTTATTATTTCAATATCGATGTCAAAATCTTGAAAATAAATTTCATGCTCTTTATTAGATTCGTTTTAATTACCTTGCTGCTTAATATCCAAAGGCTTGTTATCATCGATTATGTTATTAGCAAACTGGAACAAACGCAACAATTTAGATAGAAATTGATATGCAGCGAAATTTGTGAATATAATTAAACCTGAATTTTGTTTTCGCTAAATAAGAAACGTAAGTACGGATGATAGCTCGTACATATTACAGCAAATTATTATAACTGTCTTTTGCATATAAAACGAAGATTGTGGTCATGACGAAGATTTACGAGCTAGATTTTATTATTGAAAGCAAATAAGTTTTTATCTAAATATTATGTAAGTGGGCAATAAGTATGTAAGCATAATACTGCACTATAAATTAGTACAATAAGGGCAACGACTTTAGATGAATAGCAATAAACAAATTAAAATCTTATTTACAATTGAGTTGATCAATAATAAAAAATATTATCATCTTCATTAACAAATATTGTTCAGAAATACTTTCCTATTATGACCATAGTCATTAAGAAATAATCTTTAAAATACGTATATCAGTATAAATTATAATTATTGATGCAACTAGGAAATTAATACATAATAGGATATCGACAATGGAGTAATATGCAATAAACAAGCAACTCTATCTACAGTAATATCTTTCAGCTGATTTAAATGGATTTCTTTTCATTATCTGCGGCAGTTAACTTGCAAGATTTATTTATAATATTAGCAAAGAGCTTTTAGATGCTTTCGATCTAGAATGCCGTCTACTATGAAATCATATTGCGTTTACGCTATTGTTAACGTTTTAAATACCCGTAGTGACTGCATATTAGTGTTTTCATAGTCGAGAGAAATACCCGTATTTTAAATAATATAGTAGTTGGTTGTTTGTAATCTACTAATTATACTAAGTAAATGAGTTCAGTTATTTATTATAAAGCTATCTTCTTCATCATATCCAGTATTAATACTTAATAAACAAGAACGATGGTATGGCAGCATCGTGCAACAAATTGCTGAGTATCTTCTTGCAGTATCGAAGTTTTTACGGAAAAAGATTAGAAAAAATTGAATATACGGTACCTAAATGCTATTGCACAATGATTGATTAGAGATTGTGTAAAGCTACTTAAATATATGAAGCAGAAGAGAAGATCAAAAAAGCATATATATTGATCTACTCGCAAACGGTCAAACGGTTGAGTAACGAAATGATTTGTTGGTTCTAACTACACTACAACCCATAGAGTATCTCTGTAGTCTTTGGCATGATATGGATTAGGGCGAGGAAAGTAGTGGTGTAATGGATTAGCTAAATCACCTAGAATTTTTATGTTGTAAACAGCTCAAGCTAGTAGAAGATATTATAAACATCCTACGTTATCGAATTTTAGAAACGTAAACTTCATTCTTGCTGACTTCTAAGGTGCTGCTATATCAATAAAATCTAATGAAATCATCAGGTAATTAAATTGAAATACAGCTCCGCACTTCTACTTGAAAAATAAATGTTACTTTAGGCTGCATCTAAAATTTGTCTATGTCCAGCAATGTTGATTTATTATTTAAACTGATATGATTAGTAAGTGTATTCATTAATTATAAGCAATTTTGTATACTCTACCTTGAACATCCAACGAATCAAGGGAAGATAGAAATATTCAGTGCCAAAAGAAACCTCAAAAGAAGCGGGTATTACGATGAAGGTCAAAAGGAAAGCGAGGGGAATGCCAAATAGAATATGTAATAAGATAAGTAATCGATGGGTTATCCATTTAATGCAATATTTTTTGGTGTCTTGATGTTTCATGACGAAAAGTAATACGTTGCAAATTGGATTGATTTTTTACTAATTATTCGAATTTTTTACTATTTACTATATAAAGTAATGACTAGCTAATTCCTATGTCTGAATTGTTTTTGATTAATTTCACTTCGTCTTATAGTTCGAGCTACGAAATTCCTTGAAAGCTTGAAGAGTGAGAGACGCCTGAAGAATTAAAATTGATGATTGATCGCAAACGTCTAGCATATTAATCTCAACAATCATGTAGTAATGTCAAAAGCAAATTGAACTTTAATTTGTTAGATCTTTCTTTATCTGGGAGTAAATCATCAGACTAAATGGTGTTGTACACTGGTTTAGGTATCTTATGCAATAATAAATCAAAACTTGATTCTTAACAGTATGCAGATAATGAATTATTCAGTAAGCCATATTCTGAAGTTGTAACGTATTTCTAAGCCAATGCTTACCAATTTAAAGGAAATTGATAATCATAATTTAACGATCAATTGATGTTTTAGTCTATCTGAAATGAATATTGTTATAGACGATAAATATATTGTGCACTTCTTATGCATGGGTTATGTTATTAATGCGCTAATACTGTACCAGTTTACATATTATCTGGTTGCAATTCATTTGATAATAAATGTACCGGGTAAATTCGTTGGCAAATAATTTAACATAACATAAGAAATTAGTTTGTAGTATCCTGCTGATGTGGGTCTGCGCAGAGAGTATTTAAAGCAGAGTTATTTATTTATACCCTAGTAAAGATATACAAATAATCTTATGCTATTCACTACAAGAAGATGAAAAATAGGTAATTGATTAGTCTTAAAAATTGAAAAGTGATAAAAAAATTAAGAATTCTATTTATACTATCTTTACATTACAACCTCATTCTGATAGCTTTCAAACGTAATGCCAGTCTAATAACTATGCATGAAGTTTTTTTTACCGTACTACCGCTCATAATTGACATAACGAGGCAATTGAAATCAAATACGTATAAACATGTAGGTTCGAAAAGGATTTCAAAATATGTTTATAGCTTCAATTGAAGTTGTTTGCTAATATAACATCATGGAACCGGATGTTTACATCAATAGTTTGGTCACAACTAAATATATAAATAGTCAGCTAAATTGGCAGGCACGAATATTATGAGCCTACCCTTGTACTAAATATATTAGCCGATATCGATGTGTGAAATTGAAAAAGTAGCATTTTATTTGCATTTACGAATGATGTCTTTAGATATCTTGGTCTATACGGTATTCTTTTTTGGGAACAGATACCCATAATTAAAGTTCACCTTCTAACGTTGATTACTAGTTTGATCTACACGTAGTATAGTATATAATAACCAGAAAAATTCATATATGCATTAATGCATACAATATACTCAGTGCTAAGCGACTCAGATAATGTAAATTCATCCAAATTTAGTAAATACTTCATGTTAATTAAATAATTTATTGACATTAGCATAAATTCATTTTAGGTTGTTTACAGTTGTAGTACGGTTTAGGGTCGCGTGCATACTATTAATTTCCTTACACTCCATAATATTGTCTTTACTTTTATGCTGACTAGTCGAACTCTCGCTCGTGATATTCCGCGTAGGCGCGTACTGTATTTTTGTATTTGTTACTTTTTGGATTAATTATTCTATGATATTTGAAAATAAGTCGAGATACAGTGGAATGGAAGAAACAATATCAGACATATATCGTTAGCTATATTATCGAGATATTTATAGGTCGTCAGGTTACGATAAAGATTAAGCCACGGTGCTGACTTTGAAGAATTGTGCAAAGTGGTCGGTCGTATTAATATAGAGTTTACGTAATGAAAAAAATTCAAAACAAGGATAAATTTACTGCATATCCTTCATAATAAGAACTCTTACAAATTTTAATCTCATCTTTGATAACTATCGGAGCTAGCTGTCAGCCATGATCACGACTTTTCATATTTCTTATTAGTAGCTTTAATACCAGTGAGCGACTTAGTTACAATGCTACAGAGAATATCATACTTAATAAATAGTAACGAATCTAGTTACAGTCTTCTATGAAATATCAATACTACGCTGATTTTCTACATACATGTATGTGAAGTACAACTAGTATATGCGTAATAAATGATACATACTCTTACAATGGTACGTCTTAGCAGGGTACCGCTTCGATAAATTACTACGGATATAAGGAATAGCAAGTAATACATAGTCATATAACTAGTTGATCTATACAAATAATTAGATCTAAATTCCATCCAAACTGTCTCGTCATATCTTGAGTAATTAAAAGTAGTGCTGAAATATCTCCCGTCGCTATTAGTAAATTACACACTCAAAATAATCATTGTTATACCTTAATTACTATTATTGTCATACTAGGAGTTTTGTGAAATAATTACTGAGCTGTTAAGTTTGAATGAGTTGTACGGTTGTAAATTTGTAAAAGCTGTTTCTATCAAAGACAATCAAATCTATCAATTAAACTGATAATAAATAAAGAGAAGATATTAACGCGTAGTTTATTACGAAAATTTACTTGTAAATGACTAGCAGTCAATGTTATATCCTCAGTGCTGCATAGTTATGCGTACCGCCCTAATTGCATGTACGCGTATAAGGAAAAACTATTCTGTGCAAGTTATCTTGATGCAGTAAATAAACAAATGCATATAAATTACTTGCTGATCATATTTCCTAAAAGCTACTTAGAAATATTAATATACTATAGAGATAAACCGGCAATTATATTATCCGAAATCGTCTTCAACAAATTTTATAAGCGATATCGCCGAGTGCCACAATCTCTAAATAACTACAGTAACCAATTAGTTACAATTATATGCTGCTATTATTATCTTCTAAACCAAATATTAATAGTGCCGTATGATACATGTTGCCTGCTCGATAATAATAAGCCTTGTCATTTAGAAATTGATCATCAATGCATTCAGCATAAAGAGAACTAGGTAACATAGTATCTCAAAGCTTAGTAAAAATCGATAGGTAATACAAGCAGTATACAATTTTTTTCACGTCTTGTATGGATTAGTAATACTATACATACAGTCCGTTAAAGTAAATTTGTAAATTGCTTCAGTATGAATACAATATTTAAATATGGATACTCAATTGTAATTTCTCGTATCATAGTAATTTATAAATTAATGTAAATGCTGATAAAATAACCAATATGTTTTTATCATATTGAAAATTGTATTTACATTAGTGACGTTTTATCTGCACATTTACTTGCTAGGCTTAATTGAGCCTGTATCGGTAATCTGGAAAATGGCGTACTAATCCGGTATCACTAACGATCCGTTTCCAAGCTGGAATATTCTTCTAATAGCAGCTGATAGTCAAGATTTGCTAATGGAATTGTTCTACGGACAGCTGAAGTGATTGATCGAACCTATAAAATTTATTATTGGAAAGTACAAATTTTAGGCTCATCATTGTTTCGTAAAAATAATATTCAACCTGTTGTGCCATTTCGTTAATAGCATGCGTAGTATAATTATACTGATAGTAGGCCGATTTAATTTACGTACTAGTTGAGTGAAAAATGATGTATGTTTTGGCTTTTCCGCATATCTTTCAAACTGGTCCAAAGAATCTTGTAGTTTTAAGGTAAGACTGTCATAATTGTTTCGAACTACAGATAGTACCTGAGTTTAAATTGTAGACGAAGAAATGTTAACATAGCAAATCAACAGTGTCATGAACTACCTGTATAAAAGCAATGAAATGCATTAAAACATCTGCAACACCTGTTCTGAAGTGAGACTTTGACCATCATGTGAGGCAGAGAAATAGTCGATTTTCAATGTAAAGTGGCTGATGATTGACCTAGTAAGCAAAGCAGGTGATTACTGTAATTGTAGCGTTAGTTCCAAGGCAATAACGCTATAGTTTGCAAGATCTTACCTAATATTGACAAGAGCGCGAGTTACTTTTGTAGATGATTCTTTCCAAATACCATTTTCATTTGTATGACGTAAAGCTTTATATTTTAATAAAACAATAAAAAATTCAGGCGACATCTAATAATCATTCGATTATAATATTTACTTATAGCTTACACATAGAATGAACGTTATCAAACACTTGATGCATTCTAATAATTTCATAATAAAGCTCATCATATTCCTTTGGATTAGGTAAGAATGTATCACCATATGTGATGAACAAGTTGAATATGGTTAATGCCTAGAAATTTGAATTAAATGATTATTTACCAATAACTCAATAATTAGCTGCGTTAATGTACCTAATAAAATGCGAATGTTTGTGTCGATGTATTAATGAGAGCATTTGAGTAAAATAAGCTGCTGCCGCTGCGGATAAGACGCTTGTACCTTACCTCTAATATAGTTGCAAAGATGTCAGCTTTAGCGATTAAAGTTGCTTCATTGCTAAGTAGAAATTTTATTAAGTAGATGAGAGCTGCAATAAAATTATGGAAAAAATTATAGTCAGCTTTGATCTCCAAATTACTACTCACCCCCAAGAAATTTGCAAATAAAATGATTAATTGATGATAAATAAGTGAAAATATTTATTTTTTGTCTAAACGAACCGGTCCAAAGAGGCTGCCAATCGTAATTCAAACGTATCCTGTGCTTCTTTTGATAACTGATCAAACGACGGATTATACCTACTGCGAATCTATGATAATTAAGCTAGCATTAACTTGCTGTACGAATCGAGAATTAGAATCTGTGACATAAACTGATTGATAATTAGTTAAAGAATGAATCTATGCATTACTGCCAAGTCATTACCCGTAAAGATCCGTGGGTAACTTTTTTACCAGATGACTTGCAATAAACTCAGTCATTAAATCTGAAGTAAAATATAATTTGATACTATTTATAAATCGAAATACCAGCATACAAGTTATGCAGTGAAAAGATAATACAATAATTCATCTCAGACATCCTACCTAGAATAGCACAAGCTAGAGAATTAGGCGTTGCAATTTTATTCACTACTTCTTTTCTATGACGCATAGGCTGCAAAAAATCATTTGGTATAATTATTAGTGACGGCGGTGCATTACATCAAACTTTATACTTGACATAAAAATAAAAAAATGTTATTATCATTATTATGACGTACTGCTTTATAGATATTGACTGCAAATTGGATGTTGGTATCATGAAAATAGGCATTAGCATATTGATCCTTTATGAGAAATAAAACTTATTACAATTATGGTATAGCAAAGTATGCAATAATTAGATGAGGCGAATAATGAACACACATTATTTATAGCATGGTAAACTAACCTCTACTAAGCAGTTGAGAGTAATAAAACAAAGTTTCGCTATATTGCGCTGGTGAGCGTCTGTAATAATTAGGGAACATAGAAATAGGCAAATGAAGATAAATAAATGGATAACAGTAAACAAGGACTGAAAAAGAAATTTTATACTTACCTTTAAACTGACGAGTAATGATAGATATAGAGGTTAAAAATGAGCATAATACATTAGCAGGAATATGTGATTCAGGTACAGCGGACATCGATGGGGTAACTGTCGACAAAATTTTAGGAATATATGGAGTTCGAATTTCAATAATTGATAGACCTTTAAAATCTTAGAGTAGTAAGTATCGGTAAATACCTAAAGATCCAAGCTGTGGTACTACTAAAGGAGTAGAGTATTTGGGAACTTCTTCATTGGACGATTTATCGTGACTCTAATTGCGTAAAGGATTTTTTAAAGTTATTCTAAGATGAAGCAAAAATTGTCATAATTGAATTATTCAAAATTCAAACAAGGTCATACATGGCACAGGACAGTCATGAAATTTCGGTTTTGATGAATGACTTGATACAAGGCTAATATTAATCCTTCATTTGTTCTACAATGGTGATGATAAAATTTTCGAATGAAAAATGAACTAAAATCGAGATACATCGAATAGAGGACACAAATCCTACCTTAAACTGTAGTCAATATCGGAATCTTCGCTTACGAATAGACTACCAATCTGTTGTTTGACGTAACATAATAATTTCTATTAATTTTTGCATTGACAGTACAAGCAATTGCTAAATAAAGTAGAACTACGTTTCTTACCAGACCAGTTATTTGTGAAAGCATTCCTCCGGAATTTTCAACGACAGAATTTTCGAAATCGCTAACGTTATTAAATTTGTTAAATTTTATTCTACATAAAGTTTAGCAAGGGGAAATAGAAGTCTAACCTGCATCTATTGGACAACATATTATACAGGATTGCTCCCATACCCTAATAATTTGTTTAAACGTAAGATTAGTACATAGAAGCTCAATCAAAGTGTTCAATAGATACCAAAATAGGTACATACACGAAGAGCTACTTCATCATCAAGCGCAGACAGCTTTAGCAAATATACATTGGATGTCTAAGTAGCCAAGAGAGTATAAGACAATGGATGATTTAGCTTTATCGATGTAAATTTTGTTTCGCTGGTTTATAGAATCTCTATCTTAATACATACGTCATATTTTCTGTAATTCATTAATATTCCTAGCAGGAGAAGTGTATCATAGCCAAGATGCCGTCGCAATTTTGGATTAGCAAGTATCTATGGAATCATATCGTTTGGTTATATTAGCAAAGACTCCATCCCTCTAGGTATTCTTAATTACTAATCCTGGTTGGTGTTGGAATTGCAAATAAGACATTCTTAATAGTTATTTAATATGCATAACTTACATTCATGAAACAATCAAATAGGTTATTCAACATTAAATATTCAACCATAGTATTTTGGCTGACATTATCTCTTCCCTACGCAATGTTGAGATACAAAGTCAAGTTAGGCCGTCATCAATGAACAGTCATTCCGATGTTACGCAATAAAACGAAAGCGTGCTGGTAACTGAGATACCAAATACAATTCTTAACGTTCATAAAATATCAGAAAAGATTCATTGTACTGACCGTTGACAAGATAAGTAGAAGCTTGAGGCTCAAATTCTGCAGGCTAACTGTCATATCATGAAACAAGCAATAGTTACGATGAGGTTCAACACACGGATGTAACGCTTAGCCATATACAAATCAGTATTTTTTTAGGTATAATGGGATTTAACGTCTTAGCACAGACTGTTGATACGGTACAATGCTAACCTGGGAATGCTCCAAGTAAAATACTCTGAATGCTATGTAGCATATTCTATGCAAAAAAGTGATTGATTATTAGCAAATTTAGAGGTAAGATAGATAGGACAACTATACAATTACTATAGTGTCAATAAGCTGCTCAATTAAAGATGCTAGGAACTTATTCGTACTTGCATTCTAACTTCCGATTCATCAAATCCAATCAAAATATCGATGATGTCAAATCCGAAATTGGATAATTTTTTTCGGTAAATGGAACGAACTAGAGCGCAAATTGTCTGTTATATCGAGTCAATTCGATTTTGTGTTAGTATTTAGGTATTGCGATGAACTGTAATTAGGATAGCATCTATAGAGATATTTTATTTTCAATTAATTTTATAATGAAAATGGAATACAATAAGGGGAAAAATGATGCAATTAAGTAATCTACTACAAGAGTATTGGTAAGAATGGCAAACCTGTAGTGAATTTGTCATTCTTATCCAACTCGTTCCTTTTAGTACATCACAACAGCGAGCGAAAAGAAAATTGATGATACCCTATATTACAAAAAGATAATAACTCAGCAATCAACACTTTCCTTTATTAACTGTAAAATGAGGAAAAAATTTTGACAGAAGTTTGCTCAGTAGTCTGGTGCAATTTCTGATTTCAATTTGTAATGTATGAGCACATTGCAACTTACTTTCTTCTGTATAAGTTTACTTTCATGATAATTATCAATGGTTGATTCAAGGAAGACCACGTTAGCCTAGTTTCGTCATAAAAGATTGATATCGTCAATATTTATCTTAAATTAGGATAGGAAAATGATCTTTGATAAATTAATGTCATCCAGGTTTTGGTAGAGACAGTAATTGCAATCAAAACTGAATATAATTACTATAAGACTCGCGTTATACAGAAGTTGATTTTAATCTACGTGTAGTTTATGTCTTTATGATTACAAAAGTAGTCTTATCCTATAGCGTATATTCTACAAGAAGTTATATACAGAAGTTGATTTTAATCTACGTGTAGTTTATGTCTTTATGATTACAAAAGTAGTCTTATCCTATAGCATATATTCTACAAGAAGTTATATACAGAAGTTGATTTTAATCTACGTGTAGTTTATGTCTTTATGATTACAAAAGTAGTCTTATCCTATAGCTTATATTCTATAAGAAGTTATATACAGAAGTTGATTTTAATCTACGTGTAGTTTATGTCTTTATGATTACAAAAGTAGTCTTATCCTATAGCTTATATTCTACAAGAAGTTATATACAGAAGTTGATTTTAATCTACGTGTAGTTTATGTCTTTATGATTACAAAAGTAGTCTTATCCTATAGTGTATATTATACAATAAATTGAAACATAAAAATGATCTTCTTACTTAGAGAAACCAATATAATAACGTCTACTAAAATACAATACTGACATTATTCTACTTTTAATTAATTATTTTTTATTATTCGTATACTACAATAGCATTACAAGTCAAAAATGATGAGTTGTATTTTCAAGGATGGAAAATGAGATTGATGGGATACTTTCTTCATACTGTTCAATTATTGGTATGATATTCAAACAGCATCGAATTCCAAATACCTTAAGAAGGAAGAATTCGTCCCAAAAATTGATCTTTTCTTGTGGTAGATCGTCTCCCTACACGTACATTATAGAATAGTACCAGAAATTAATATACAATATGTACAGTAGAGTGAAAAGTAGCGACATCTTTAGTCTCTTCAAAATTGTGGTTCCTCAATTGAAATAGTAAGCTACCTATTTCTGTATCCCTGATTCTATTTCTATTGGTTGTCCATTTATACCATCAGCAAGCGTCTAGTTCTTGTTATCGTAAGAGAAGATCCATCCTTTTATAGGATGTTAATCACTCCGCTTGCTCTACAACTTTATCATTCTACACGTATTTTTATATTTAGTACTGTACTGTAGGTAGGATGACGGCGATGGAATTTATTTTTGAGTAGTATGGATTGACAAGACAGAGGCAAGAATAAAGTTGTGCTATCCATCTCTTATTTTATTTTGCATGCCTGGATAATTGATAGTTCAATGGCAAGGAATGGAGCAGCTGTAGTTATTCTAATGTTGTCACAGTTGTACTATAGTAGCTATACAGTTTGTGAAAAAATGTTGATGACATCATTTCTTAATTAACGATGGTCTCCTCGATGATTAAAACGTGCTGTAGCGGATATTTGTAATGGACGTAGGCTACTTCAAAAGGTAGACAAGGGTAGTCAGTGGAAATTGTTTTTTTGCTGTACAGTATACCCATTTAGGACTAGTGATTATCAGGTAGAACGAAAATAGTATAGCATGATTACCGATATTTTTATACATGGACTAACCGATATTGTCCACTCAACTTGGAAACATGATTTGAACTGAGCAAGAGGCTTTGATATTTAATGGAGATCGTTTTCATGGTAGTTGCAATAGTAACGATAACGGTAAGGATGAGATTGCACAGTGTTATCACGAGTAAATACTGTACGCAGTCAATTGAGAAAATTTGGCCGCAATTTTGAATCCTGTACAATAATATTAGTCGTGTCGTCGTCCTTGATCCATTTCTGTTCTCGTTGTACACTTTAGTACAGTTGATGTCGAAGCATGCATACTGTATTTTCAACAACAACTGGTATGAAGTAGCCAAGGAGTTAGGCAAGAGCTTGACGGCTATCGTCTACAGCAATTCTACGTATACCATCAATCGATTGATCAGATGATGACAAGTAATTAAAAGAGGATTATGAGGAAACGACCAGTGATGCTGATTGTTGTTGTACAGTATAGGATATGGATAAAATCAATCAATCTAATGAACAACAATAGAATTGAAAGGTGCCTCATTTTCGTACAACTTTGGATGGCATGGCATGGATGTCGATGATGTAATATGGATGAAGAAATGGCTGAGCAAAGATGTCAATGCTCCTTGTTTTCTCTGTTTGAATCAAACAAATTGAACATCATGTCGGATAGAAGTTAGCAATTGATTGGATCGATTGGAGAATCATGGCTACTGTCGATGTGGAAATGAAGAGCAAACTGAAAGTACAGGCGTTGATAGTCAGCAGCGACTGGCTATTGATGATTCATTATTACGTTTGTCTACATGTTAAGATGTCTGTACAGACCATTCTACAAGTCTTTTGAGTAGAAGAAGTACTTTCTGTAAGTTAAGATTGTCATTTAGAGATAGACGACAGTAGCGATGTCTCACTGATGATCGATTTGTACTTCAAATCAATGTCGATAGGTCCATTTTTGGTGGTAGCAAGTGCAACATAGTGTGCATAGTTTATGACTGACTTGCTACAGATGCGATTGTATCATGAGAACTGGATAGGATAGCCATGATTCTCTTTGTACAAGAATAGCAAGAGTAATCGTTGGAGATAGTACGGAGTAAGGGTAAGTACAACTATCGCTATTGAGAATTTGGACCGTCATCATTTTAGTTGGTAGCCTAGTGATTATCGCAATCGACGTGTATAGCAAGAGGAATGGATGAGGATTATCAAGGAGTCGAAAATTGAAAGTGATGGTTTTCTCCTGTATGATATTTGACGGTGATTTGCTAGAAATGTGAAGAAATAGCGCTGCTAAGAAATATGGATGAATGGGCTATGATACCGTGTGTACTATCGTTGATGATTTATTGACTTTGGTATGATCGATGGCCATGTTGGCTTTGATGATGATCAAGACGATGACCATCGATTAGCTCACTTGATCTGATCTGTATGATGGACAAGGGAGAATCAAGGAGGCACAGATGAATGGATGTGAAGGCCTGAGATAGAAATGCATCCTAGTACACTAAGCTGGTCGATTGATTTGTAAAGTAGAAGAAGGAGAATTGAAAAAAAATAAACCCCCCCCAAACAGTGGAGACTGATTGAGAACGTTGGGCATTTTAGCTTTTGCAGGCTAAAGATGAAAATAACAAGGTTGTACACCTATGGAGTAGCATGGTCATGACTAGAATTGGATGGATGATGACTTACTTCTAGTAATGACTCGTAAATCTTAATGACTTTCTCCCTTAGAGGCATTTTCTGTGGATCTTCATTGGGCTGGAGCGAGAAATAGCGATTACTGACACCAGCTGCAGCCATGGCTTGGACTTTTGCAGTCAAAGAGAGGCAATTAAGATGGAGAACAATTTTCCTCTTGCACTAATGGACGTTGTAGCAGCAGTCTACTCTCTCTCCAATCTACCAATCAATTGACTGGAAAGGCATTTGCATTACTCTCCACTCTCAATAGCAAGCAACACTCCTTGGTTTTTCCCTCTTGAAAGCGCCAATCAAGGTAGACAGTCGTCAAGCTGATCCACTGGATGGATGCAAAAGAGAGAAAGAAGAAAGTTCACAACAATAATCACAATTATTGATCAACAATTTGGCCTTTACCCCCACTGCCACTCGGACCAATAACTGTCCCACTGCTGACTCCAGTACTGTTATAAAGGTGCAACCAAGGGCCAGTTTAGTCCAGGCGGACGGCTGGACTGATGCAAGGCCACTGGACACTGGACAGTCCTGTAGTGGACACTGTAGTGGACACCAGTGGACTCAGTCGACTCGTCCAGGCGGACGGCTGGACTGATGCAAGGCCACTTGTAGTGGACAGTAGTGGACACCAGTGGACTCAGTCGTCTCGTCCAGGCGGACGGCTGGACTGATGCAAGGCCACTTGTAGTGGACAGTAGTGGACACCAGTGGACTCAGTCGTCTCGTCCAGGCGGACGGCTGGACTGATGCAAGGCCACTTGTAGTGGACAGTAGTGGACACCAGTGGACTCAGTCGTCTCGTCCAGGCGGACGGCTGGACTGATGCAAGGCCACTGGACAAGTGGACAGTTTTTAATGGACAGTAGTGGACGAGTCGACTGAGTCCAATCGTCTCGTCCAGGCGGACGGCTGGACTGATGCAAGGCCACTGGACACTGGACAGTCCTGTAGTGGACACTGGACAGTAGTAGACACCAGTGGACTCAGTCGACTCGACCAGGCGGACGGCTGGACTGATGCAAGGCCACTGGACACTGAGTGGACAGTCCTGTAGTGGACAGTAGTGGACACCAGTGGACTCAGTCGTCTCGTCCAGGCGGACGGCTGGACTGATGCAAGGCCACTGGACAAGTGGACAGTTTTAGTGGACAGTAGTGGACGAGTCGACTGAGTCCAATCGTCTCGTCCAGGCGGACGCTGGACTGATGCAAGGCCAGTGGACAGTTAGTGGACAGTAGTGGACGAGGCGACTGAGTCCAATCGTCTCGTCCAGGCGGACGGCTGGACTGGTGCAAGGCCACTGGACACTGGACAGTCCTGTAGTGGACAGTAGTGGACACCAGTGGACTCAGTCGACTCGTCCAGGCGGACGGCTGGACTGATGCAAGGCCACTGGACACTGAGTAGACAGTCCTGTAGTGGACAGTAGTGCTGTAGACGTCGAGCGATTGGACGTCCAACGGACGTTCGATTTTGGACGTTCGGTATGTACGTTCGTTGTCAGATCGGACGTCGACGAACTGTACTGTACAGTGTACAGTGTACAGTGTACAGTACTGTACAGTCAGTTTGTATAATCCCACCCCAATACTATACAGTACATACAGTACAGTAGTACAAACGTCTTTTACAAACACTTTCAGTACAGTGTACTGTACACTATGTATATACTGTAGTGTTAACACTGTACACTGTGTACGTTGGTACTGTACGTTCAATGAACGTCCGACGTTCAAATTGGACGTTCGTACGTTCGTTCATTAAAACTGGCTAACGTCCACAGTACTAGTGGACAGTAGTGGACACCAGTGGACTCAGTCGTCTCGTCCAGGCGGACGGCTGGACTGATGCAAGGCCACTGGACAGTTAGTGGACGGTAGTGGACGAGTCGACTGAGTCCAATCGTCTCGTCCAGGCGGACGGCTGGACTGGTGCAAGGCCACTGGACACTGGACAGTCCTGTAGTGGACAGTAGTGGACACCAGTGGACTCAGTCGACTCGTCCAGGCGGACGGCTGGACTGATGCAAGGCCACTGGACACTGAGTAGACAGTCCTGTAGTGGACAGTAGTGGACACCAGTGGACTCAGTCGTCTCGTCCAGGCGGACGGCTGGACTGATGCAAGGCCACTGGACAAGTGGACAGTTTTAGTGGACAGTAGTGGACGAGTCGACTGAGTCCCATCGTCTCGTCCAGGCGGACGGCTGGACTGATGCAAGGCCACTGGACAAGTGGACAAGTGGACAGTTAGTGGACAGTAGTGGACGAGTCGACTGAGTCCAATCGTCTCGTCCAGGCGGACGGCTGGACTGATGCAAGAGCACCGGACACCAGTGGGTGAGTCCTCCCTTATTGGAGGACGCGTCCAGTCGTCTCGTCCAGTCTACAGTCTACAGTACGACACGAAACGACAGTACTCAGGACTGTGGCCATCGACGGCGGACTGTAGTCTTGCGTGACGTGTTGGAGGCTCTGCAGTGCACAGCGATGACGTCATCGCTGTGCTCATACTACCGCCGGTGGCTATACTGGCCCTGTCTATCAGCGACAATTATTGGGGTGGCAACTGGGCCATTTTGCCTACTCCGGTGGCTATACTGGAAGATACAGCAAGACTTGAATTGGAGTTGGCCATTGGCGACAAGAAGTGGGCATCATCGTTTTGACTCTTTTTGGATCATCATCGTCTTGACTCTTTTTTGGATCATCATCGTCTTCTTCTTCTGCTGAAGATTGGCTTGTCTAGTTTGCTGTCCTTCTTGACGAGTAGGCTGTCGATCGATCTTTTCCATTGCACAAGCAATAGTGTTGTTTCTACTTGATCCGTGACTGCGTTGAAGATGAAATTATTCTCCTTGGTCGTCTTGTATAAGACTCATCAGGTCGATATTTTAAAATCGTCCTCTGATCTCGCTAGCTTTGGCTATTTTCAACGTTCAAGGTAAAAAAAAACCCAACAAGAAAATCAATCCATCTTATTCTATTGCAAGATACAGGCATGCATGATTCCAGGATTCATGGATAAACCTCCAACGTATGCCAATCCACGGACTCCAACAATTACAGACATCAACGGCAAGCTTTCATTTGCCTTACCAATGACAATCTTCCTTTCTCTTATCCTATCTCGACTACACCATTCTCTTCTAAGGGGATCTTCAATCACTCATAACCACTCTACGCTATCATCAATCGTCTACTTCACTCCAATACTCCTACCTACTTCTTCTCTAGTCATCCTATGCCATCGATACAACCATATTTTTCATTTCAAACATACAAAGAGGACGAACAAGGCCATCAACCCCGCCGAGCAAAGTCATCATCACACTCTACGGAAACCAATGGGGGGATAAAGGACATCTTCCATAACCCTAAATCATACCCAAATTCCACCCATCCAAGCGGATACTCTTCCCTTCCTTCTACAATCCGACACATCATCACGATCGTCAATCACCCTCAGTGTTCTACCAGTACTGTATTTTCGCACGCAACAAAGCATCATCCAGTCTTTGCAATCATCGTCAAAATCAACCGATGGATAGGCCTACTATTCTATTTATCATCAAAAACATGATAGCAATAGGATCGTCCCATTTTTATCGACCATGGAATCAATCGTACTAAAGAAAGTATCATCCAATCATCCCCAATCACATAGTGCAAGCAAGCATCATTCCATTCTTATCCATGCTTGCTTGAGTAGTGCTTGTAGTCAACAATTTTCGCCGACTTGAAAGTAAACTAAACTGAAGAAAATAGCATCAAGACCATCAAATTACCCCCAAACTCACTCAGTATGAGACTTGATAAACTGAAAGAAGTTCAACTCACTGTAGAAAACCTTCGTACCACTACCCGTCTGCATCAAGACCTGATTCTTCCTTTCACGAACCGTTCTATTTTGACATGTTGACGATTGATTGATTTTTCTTCCCTTCAACACATTGCATCCATGACATACAGAATGGGATGCATTGGATCAAAGGTGGTAAAAATATTATTGTACTATTCATTACGACTTGCTATCCATGGACTCGACGAGCTCTTACGCTCGTGTAAAGTGACTACTCTACATACATTGAATGATGGTATAATATTCTGTATCATCCCTGCCGGTAGAATTTCATTCCATTCATGGCATACCTAGTTCTAATCGTATGCTGAGCTAGCATGGCACCCTATTGACCATTTCTATTCGTATATGTCAAACATTTTAATGATAGTCTTAACAATTGACGTAGCCTGTTCAAATACCAATTCATCCGACAATCTTTAAATTCATAGCCCTCCATACGTGATGAAAATCCTACATTGAGATCATGGAGATAGACGTACTCATACTTTAAAATACTATTGGACAATCATGAAACACTGTTTGAGCTTTTCCAATCCAAGGCTTAAGCGTTCAATTAGACGAGCATTTCAATAGTTTCTTGAATTGATACGTAAAGTATTTTACAACTACCTGTTTTAATTGCACTATGGGCCGTATACGCGTAGATTAGACTACTGCTAGGGTAGAAAGTGGTACGAATCATTAATGGATCATAATCAATGGGATGTTATTAGTGATGTGAAATAATGTAGAGAATCAATTCATTTTACCAATCAATCAGTATCGAAAAATATCACTTTTAATATATTGCTGTATGAATTGGATTGTATCTAGTGTTCAAGAATTTATGCTATTTACCAGCAAACTCCTTACTGAAAGAACACAGCCAGGACAACGAGTGTCAGTAAAAGAGCAAGGTAATGATTAAACAATTCAGTGTCAAACAACAATATTAAAGAGGTACTTTCAACCACAGACTTCTAATTAGAAGAAGCATATCATAGTTGGTGCTTGAAACCGATACAATACTGAGAAATGGATACAGTTCAAGTCTGATTTACTAAGTTAGAATAAACTGTAGAGGTTACAAGCTGATGATCATCATGTTGAATACTACGCGTACTGTATAGCCTGCCATTCAACATCAATTGAAAATATCAATAAGAACTTTTTTCAACACTTGCATTATACGAGTACATGTGTCGGTCTCATTTTTGCTATTTTTCCACTATTTAGATTATTTATGTCACACCTATATCAGATCGGATGGCCTAGCAGCAGTACTCATTGCTGATCATGAGTATCCTGCGCGAGTAGCCTTTACCGTCTTAACAAAGGTATATTGGTATTCTTAAAATCGTGTGTTCTAACTGATCGCAAGCAGCCTATCCCATTTTGCCCAAAAGTTTCAATGCTAAAAGTTGTAGGATTTTGTAGGCTATCAACCATTCCATTAGCCCATCTAGTTTTATAGAAAGAAAGACAATGTTGTATTGAAAGCATGTACTAAGTTGTTGCATGTTGCTACTCTTGTAGACTTTAGATGATTTTACGGCAGCCATTCCAAAGTCAAGTTGGAAGCCTGGGTAAGTTATTCAATTCCATTCTTACATCGAGGAATTGCCTCAACCATCATAACATACGACTCTATTCAATAATACTAGGCAAGCCAATGCTATCAATTTAGAAGAGATGCTCAGTAAATATCAGGTTGTCTCATCTTGCTGTTCATCCTCAATTTTCTTTCCGTTGCTGATACGATATGAGTACTAATTGCCTTGATATTTTTGTACTTTATTTCTACAATATCTTGGTATAGAATCCCAAGGACGCTGATCCAATGATGAAAGTTCAGGCTGATTTAGATGAAACAAAAGTTGTATTGGTAAATAAATGCATTAGTAAATCTTGTATCAAGCGTTATGCTTAGCAAAGATTTCTTGCTGTTATCGACTTGCAATAAAAGGGCTAGAAAGTGATTCAATATGCTAATATTATTGCTTATACTGTCACAAAATAGCATAATACGATTGATGCTGTGCTTCAGCGAGGTGAAAAGCTGGACGATTTGGTGCAGAAATCCGATAATCTCAGCTATTCGTCGAGAGCCTTCTACACCACTGTAAGTATTATTAAAATGGTAGATTTAGTAATTGATTCATTGACTTCAGATAATGTATTACCCTACACCTATTTCAAAGAATAATGCATGAAAGGTGGTTTAATTAAAACCACCGTAAGCGCAATAGCATAACCTTTCTAACACCACTTAATGGAAGTAAATTTTAAGCTGAAAATGGCTTCTATTGAATTTCTGTTTTTTAGGCAAAGAAGACTAATTCTTGCTGTATTGTAATGTAAATTTTTACTCCAATTGCTGTCCCACAAATGACAGAGGTCTAAAATTGGTATAAACTGTCCGTAAAGGGAATACCAATATTTAATGAATTACATATAGTTTCCATTCTCTACGCCATATTATCGCTTTATAGTAATGTAAATTATACCGATTTCCTATCAGAACTTTTGGATCTTTTACTTTCGCAATAGATTAAGATTGCCTGATATACAGATGTTATGGTGTTTAATCGTTTTAATCAAGTCTGTTTCTATCAATTACAATCTTAACAGAGGTCTTTCAAGAAATAACACTTATTGCTTTCATGATTACCTATGGTGATTGCATATGATGTACCTATAATGTTGTTTACCATCTCTGTAAGAATTTATGCTGCTGATCCCAAACGATTTGAATGATGATAAATCAGGGTATATTGTACGCAATAAATTTGTTTTTGCTTAGCTCTTGGTAGGCAAATTCAACTTTTAACTATCACTCCCGGTATTAATTTCTTGCCATTGTTATTAAACAGTTCATGAACAGTCTTAATTAAATATCGTATTTATATACGATGATTTTGGCATCAAGGTGTAGTAAGATAAAGCGCTATGATTGCCATAAATTGATGTCGAAAGATAAAACGCATCAATTTAATTCAATAACTTTCTTCTCATATAGAGCTAAGCTAGAAGTTCAATTTATAAAGTAATATCCACAAGTCGATTAGAATATTTTATCAACTTTTAGTTTTATTGTTGTTGAATACTGACATAAAAAATAATCAAAAGTATAGTACATAAATAGGATAGGCGTCTAGGCAAGGCGTATCGATAGATTTTACATTACAGATAAATAAGTCAAGCCGCGTAAGAGGTACACAATAGTTAATGTACGTATAACTAAGTTTGAAAGCGTCATTGAAAAGGTTAATTATTTCTTATAAACACAGCTTTACAGGACATCTTAATCAACTGCTTACAGTGATAGTAACCTATTAGCTATAAGAGCAGTGATTTGTAGATACTGTTTTTGAAATACGGAATAGATAACATTGATAAGTTTTACAAGAGTGGCAAATTAAAAGAGTAACATCACAGGTTATTGAATTATTTTACAAAATATAAATAAACCAGAATGCAGCCTAATAAATAACTAATCGTAAGAGATATATGATAACCCTACAATAGTAAGTAACTTTTCAGCTATTAAACTATATTTTGACTGTACAAGAGTTGATCGTAACAAAGAGAGGAAATTAAAATATTTTAATTGTCGACAATTCGTAAATAACATTTTACATTTTCAAATATTTATATAAGGTAACTGATATAGTATGATTCAATCTTTCATTGTTTACGAAGTTCGATAAGTTCGCTCGAATCATAGTAAAGACAGTTGATTCAGGAAAAATAGTCGTTCGTTTAACCTTCAAGGCAATAAAACGTCGTCAGTTTAACCTTCAAGGCAATAAAATATCGCCAGTTTAACCTTCAATGCAATAAAACGTCGCCAGTTTAACCTTCAAGGCAATAAAACTTAATGCCCAAATAGAATAGTGACGCCAGCCATAACAGCAACACCAAAGAGCAATGCCAGAACCTGTTTGACAGATTCACTATAAAAGAATAAGAAAATGTCATATCGCGTTAGTATGTTCGCTGTGCTATGTAATGCGGACAATAATATTTCAACTAAATAACTGATATGAGAGAAAACCACTTTCTTGATGCAATTACTTACATAGGATCAGTTTCTTTTTGCAAATCAGGTACAATTGTAACTAACGATACGTAGATGAATCCACCAGAAGTAAATGGTAGTATCCATACTGTTGAGTTGGCTATTATTGCAAAAGAAGGAATGCGTATATCGCATTAGTGATATCAGTTAGAGAGGAACAACGTTAGACTACCATGAAGAAATTTCATCCAGTACTATAAAATTTCTACCTTTAAAGTAGAAAAAAATTTATATACTTACATGCATCTTCTGCAATAATTCCAAATACTACACCAAATAGACCTCCGGTTGCAGTAATCATCTATACATGGCAATAATCACAGAAATATATATTAGGAGCCTATTAGCAGTAGACTATTAATACTTGATCTGTATGGATACAGATAAGGTAGAACTATATAGACTATGCACAATGTCAAACTAGACTACTGACTATTCCAGTAGAAGAATGTAAGCAGTTTTGTGAGAAAGTTAACTATATCTAATATATCAGTAATAAACCTGAGCTACAGCGGCTTGCCATCTCGTAAATCCAGACTTTAGCAGTATTGCAAAATCGCCAACCTGATTGTGATAACATAATTTATTAGTGCTGACTGTGGATACATGTTAGGGTAATTTACAAATTAAATTTTCTATAACCAGTTCAACGTACAATTTAGATATATTACAAATTATAAACTATAAATCGCTGATACATAAGTACGTTATCTGTTTCGTTACTGCTAAATGTCTCCAAATTTACAAAAAAATTAACTATAGCCAGCCATGTTACCTCATGAGGGACTTCGTGTAATAAAATTGCTGCAGTAGTACATATACCAACCTAGATAGAGGCGAAGGAAAAATGAAGTTTGTAAAGTCGCTATTCAATGTTGGCCAGCAAGATAAATAACGAAAAAAATGAGCAATTACTATTTAAAAGTATATAGCTATTCCTAACTAAAACTTTCTTTCTCGAAAATAAAATTAAAGTGTAGAAATATTTACAGTAGTTAAAAGTATGATTAGGTGCATTCAATACCAACATCAAAAATTCCTAAATGATAGTGCATAAGGTGCGTATGATACTAATTAACCAGATTGTGAAGAAGTAATCTTATCATGCTTACTTCAGATTAAACTAATCTATAGCATAATCCAGTATGCCAATAAGGGATATTGAACACTCATTAGCAGTAAGGAATGCATATATATTTAGGCTAACAGAATTACTGAGTATAGTACTTTCTTTATGACCCGCTATAGTGTCTTGGATACAGTAGTTGATTTGTAAATAAAATTTTGCAAGATATGATCTGAACAGATTTTTTCTTTCTAGAATCTGTTTAGGTCAACCGAATTTAGTGTCGTATGATGAGGTACAGAAATAGAAGTTATTTTACAATCAAACTGTAGTAGATTTGATAACAAGTATTGTATTATGTAACTAAATCTCTGGCGCTGCGATATTATATTCATATTTCTATGTTCATATCCCGTTAAATTTACTTACATTAACTCCAAGAGCATAACCGCCAGCCACAGCTAATCCATGAGTAAAATTATCAACCACATTAGCTAGTAGGTTTAAGTAACCACTTGTCTAAAAATGAAACAGCAAGCATGATAATTGAGATACAAGAACACTAAAGTAAATCCAATTACTACATACTTGTATGGTACTCTGGTTTTAAACGAAGGAATAACATTGCATATGAAAGACTTAAGTGGTTAAAATTAGTGATAATAATGTACGGTATTAAACTGAGAATATACTATAGAAGAAGTCCTATTTATGCTAAAACATGCGTCAAGCTGATCTTTTAATGGATAATACAATAATTAATTACTACCTTGATTTGTTGTTTCTTATTTTGTACAGCAGGTTGATGATTCCCTATTTATATTGAAAAAATAGTGTCAGATACCTTACTCCTTTCCGATTCAAGTACGAAAGCTATTTCTTCTATCAGCAGTATTATATAGTACGTAAATGCTAACTTAAGTTAATCGACATATTTGCCAATTCAATTTTGTTGTTACCGTCAGCTAAATGATGATTGCCATTAGTATGGCCATTAGTATGGCCATTAGTATATCCATTAGTATGGCCATTAGAATAGCCATTAGTATGGCCATTAGAATAGCCATTAGTATGGCCGTTAGAATGACCGTTACTTTGACTATGTCCATTTTTTTCATTGATTGGATGATGCTGTTTAGTTCCATTTGATGTAAGTTTGCCCTTTCTCTTGGTTGCACTACCGTTGGTTTGATGAGGACCATTTCCATTCGGAATAAGTCCATTGGTTTGCTTATCTACACAAATATCGTTGCCTTTCGAACTATGCGAATCTCCATTTATTTCATTGAGCTGATAGTGAACATAAATTTCGTCAATATTGCAATAGCCACAGTTTATATTGAAATATATTTTAACGATAGTATGATCTTACAATACTATTATATTTAAAACCAAGTTATATTGTGATCATTGCCTCACCTTTGCTTCTGCTTCTTCATCATCATTAGCTTCGTCTTCTCCTTCTGGAAATATCTTTTCACATAGCATAAAAAATACGATGCCAAATATCGCCCAAAGTCCAATTTTTGTATGATAATCTAAGGAAATACACCAATACTAAATTAATGATGATTATTAGCTAGATGAACTAAGGATGAAAAATACGATTAAAACCATTTGAGTGCTTAATTTATGATTATTTACGTGGATCATTGTTTTGGTGCGCCCAAGCTTCTGGTAAAAGATGAAGAAAGACATCGCCAATTAAACCCCCCACAGCAAAACATAACAGAATATTAAATTTTCTGGATGTAGCTATAAATCACAAAGATTGAAGTGATTTTAAATACAAATGCTAGATAAAGATAGAAATTAAACACTGTAACACATATTGAATAAATATCGTAACGATAATAACAACTTTGTACGACGAATTTATATGTAAATACATATCAATAATGTATGGATAATGCTGACGTAGAAATATTTAAAGAGATATATGATGTACGGGCATATATAGGCATTTTTATGGTCTGTTCTTGAATCTCCAATATCAAATGGACTATATTAATATACCGTTTCTGAGCCATCAAAAATTGATTGATACATGTCTATAAATGAGTGAAATGATCTTAATATAGCTTAGATAGAAAATGATTAGCTAGAAATTGAACTATGGGTAATATACTGTATAATAATTATAAATAATTTAAGATAAACCCTCAATCGATCTATCTACATAGCAGGGCACAATGTGACAAGAAAATGTTACAGAAGACTTTGAAACTAAATTAAAATTGTACTTATTACATAATTCATTTGCTGCCTTTGTACCGTATCGTCAACATATACAGTCGTCTTACTCACAAATTGAAATTATTTACATGTATATCGATTTTTTCAGGGTAATTTTCTAAGGAGACAGTGGAATTAGTATTATCGGAAATGATTCCTTCGGTCAGAATTTGTTGAAAAGTTTTTTATTCTATTAAGACGTATTCTACTGAGTAATATTTCGGCAACGGGAAAAATAGCGTTGTCAATGTGAGGAAACGTAGAATCTACAACAAATGTTAGATAATTCTAACTGATTAATACGTCTTAGTATTATTTTTTTATTTCTGGTCCACTGCCGGTGTCTATCTTCAATTCCAGGCATGAAATATTTACAGAAGATACTGTAGTTTATGATGCAGAAAATATACAAAACAACCATATAATCTGCTCGTATTAAATGACCTATAATAGCGTAAGGCAGTTCTAGTAACCATGTGGAAGGAAGCCCTGATGAAAGACAATTATTTATGCACTTTCTCATTTAAGTTTACAGAATGCATGTTAAACCTTCCGTAACTTTATATCAAATACTTGCAGATAGTTACTAAGATTGCTATTGTTAAGTAGGAAAGTTAAAAGAAGACAAGTTCTGCAATGGACAACAAAAAAAATTGAATCCTTACAATATCATCGTGATTAATGCTGAACTATACAGAGTCTATATTCTTGTTGTCATGGTCCAAGATTAAAAGAAAATTCTTCAATTATTTATAGATTAATTGAGTTTATTCTTCTACTGTCACAATGATTCTATCCTTGAATATTCGAATAGCTAAAGTAGGACAATTGATAGCAATAGTAATTAATGGCTGATTGTCTTTTCTCTCTATATTGATCAATTGTTTTTTCCTGCTCATTCAATTTAGGGTGAATTATTTAAAAAATTGCCTTGATCAAATAGATGTATAATTATGGCTAAATAACTTGATATGACCAGAAAAGTTTGCTTAATTCATATTAGTTGATGAATGACGATAATAACGGAGTAATTCCGCAATACAGGAATAAGCCTTGAATTAAACGCCCTTTTACTTAAGAATCAATCTTAATGAGTTATCCATTTAAATCCTGCCTTATTCCCCAGAAATAAGAATGATCAACAGTTGGGATAGGCCTTGTTGTTCTTGACACGCTACTGCTAACTTTTAACGTACTGTTACAGAATTATTGTTAATGCATTCATTTTGCCATCGTAAAATAAGCAATAGAAAATACAATAATGATAGACTAAATTAACACCGTAGACTAAATAAAAAATGAGCGGGGCGTTAAAGTAGTCGTATACTGTCCAGGACGACTAGTTTGTCTGTGTTGATTTACGTTCCTAATAACGTGATAACATTACCCATCGGTGATACATATAATATTTCTAGGAAAGCTATTTTACCCATTTTTAATCTATCGTCCTTAATTCTGAAAATTTTTTTGATTTCAAATTCAATGCAGCAGATGAATATCATTGAAGTGGTAGGAACGATATACGCGTGGATATTGAAATAAGTAAAGCAATATTATGGACTCAAGTCATTGATATTGCTGATCCAAATTCAGTATATGTTCAAATTTAAAGCTGAAACCTCTATTTTGTTAAATTGAGTCTGAGTTTTGAGTTTGTAGGTTTTCGGGATTTAATCGTCGTGATGGGTGGGCAATGATTCTTTTTAAAAACTTAAACTAGCTGTACTGTAGTACTGTATATTATTGAGTTCAAATATGCCCACTATTGGCATCAAAGTGTTTCAGAAAGGGAGAGTGAAAAGGACTATGGGTACTAATAATTTATTTAATAGGTGATAGAAAACTTGCGGAATCGAATTAATATTTTATGTGAAATCCAAGTACGTCTATGCAGGATTAAAATTATTTTGTGTTGGTTGAGTTATGGCTACTAGAAAAGAATGCCTCGTATAAAAATGTCTTATTTTACAAATGACTACTGTAAGGTGATGAACTCAGAGATTTAATGATTCATCGACAACTTATGGCAATAAAATATGAATACTTTATACCGGAATGTAAAAGGGTGGATATTGGTGATGAGTAAGACTTTTATTGCGTCGAATAGATTATAAAAAATGTCGATAAAGCATTTAAAACAAAAATGGAGTTCATTTATAAGCATTGAAGGAGACAAAAAAAAATTAAGAAACCTTTATCAGTATATTAGCAGGTAAGCTTCAAACGGAAATTAAAATGTTCAGAAAGGATTGCTGATGAAACTTAAATTAGCATGCCCATTCATATTTTTTAAATATTAGTCAGGAAATATAGCAAACAGATTTCAATCGGACTTTCTTCACACTCTTGACTGTAACTATGATTCTAGTCCACATTAAATGGAAATGTAGGCAAAGCCTGTCATCTTGATGTAGTAAATATATCGAAATAGTAATATCTAAGAAAGGAATACGGAAGCTGAAAATAGATGTTATATTGGCTGTAAAGAATTGGAAAACTATTCTAAGCCAAGAAAAATTGTTTCAATGATATATATATTGGGTAATTTAATTAATGTCCTCTCCATTCCAGTATCTGGTAAGATTTGTCCCTGTAGTCATCTCATTATTACAGTGTACTAGGACTAAAAATATATTGTCTAGACTGCAACAAGTCTGCGTCTATTTTATAATAATATTTTATTTATCAATTATTTCGTATTCGTATTTTGAAAATAAATGTTGAAAACTAAAAGAATCAAAGCGGAAGAAAGTGACGACGTCAATCATGTTGTTGTGTAATGATTAACAGGAGTGACTAACCTTGATCTTTTAACTTTGGTACTGCTTCTAATGGAATAACTAGCAAGGGAAATATACCACTTAAGCCTACTAGTGCTGCCGATGGAATCGCATACATCCATGTTTCTCTCAATCCATGCAAATGACTTTTTGGCAAACTTGAATTATCATCGGCTAAAAGAGTTGTGTTCCGTTTCCGTGATGCACCGTAGCGGTGAATTTGACCGTTAATAGCATGATCCGATAGGAAAATTGAAATAATAAATAACCAGGTAAAACTCTTCATGATATTTTTAACACGAACCATATTTGTAATAGCAATTGTACCATAAACCTAATTTAAATCCAGTCAATGAATGATCTATTTTTTGTTTATGTGTAAAGTTGTTTGCCTTATGAAGAAATTACGAAACTTTTTGCCAGTTGAAAGCGTCCAAGGTACCAATATATTAAACTTGCTATGATTTAAATAATCAATAAATCCTCGATGTATGACAGAATCTGCGCTCGAAAAACCCAAAATAGATGGACTTGAGATAAAAGAGGCTGTTTTCAATTAGTCTACGATAGAGTAGTATCAAAAGCGGAACGATTAGACCTTCTTAAATGGAATCTTGATTGCACCTTTTTAAAATAGAATCTTGTATCAGCAAAATCAATCAAAAGTAAAACTCTTGGATCTCGTCAAGATGGCTAGTTGGGTAGGTTCAAGGCTTTATAACCGCTATCAGATAACAGATCAACAGACCATAAGCGGAATAAAGTAAGATTAGTTTTCAATTGAATTTTTTCAATAAAATAATTGCATACTGAAAACAGATCAAGTAGTTGTAATCGGAGGAATCATCTACTGGCTATAAATCATCGGAAAAATGGTAGAAATACTAGTAATCACTCAAGTTCTAACTTCAATTCTTAATTAGTATTCCGACGTCAATCTATTGTTATTAATAATAGTATTGATTGATATAAATAGGATAGATGTAGAAATTAGTGTAGCAATCTGAATTGTTGAGATATCAATGGGATTAATTCTTTCCCTTGTTTAATTTTTAACCACTAATGGACTAATGGATAACAATCGCTTATTCAGCCGATTGGATAACGGTAGCCATGCAATTATACAACTTTTATAATTGCTAGCCATCCCCCTACAATTTGTTAATAACATAGAACTGCGATATTTTTGACTTGATATCCAATGTAGACATTGATGTATGAATGGAGAACGGTTTCTTGTATTAACATACATTATTTTTTTTTAAGTCAATAGACACTTTCGTATCATAACATGTTTAATGAGCTCTTTTAACCCTATGGATAGTGATTAGGTAAGAAGAGAGAATTTTGTCCAGGAAGGAAGTCATCATGGTGGTATCATATTAAATAAGTAAGAATAGATAGTAACCTTGTATGAAGTAATTCCCTGTTATTCTAGCTAGCTATTCATAACTGTTGACTACTTTGAACCTTTGCCATTGGTGCTCAAAATATGTTATTTCTGTAATTATAGTTACTAACAGTGTTGTAAGAATGTTTGTTAGTTATGATGATCGTTAGTTTGTGGGTCCATTATAAAATAAAGTCTACTCTACTTTGGATGCTTATAATTAATACGATTATATAGTATGGTCCCAACAGTGTTGTCAATTTCGACGTAAAAAGGAAATCGCCAAGCAATTATGACACAGACTACAGATACCTACAAATATACTTTATATCAATTACAATACTCAAATGGTAGCAAAGGAAAGAAATGATTGGGATAGTCTAGTTGTAATATCTTGATGATAGGGAATAGGGATAGTTATTGTCCAGTCTATCAAAATTGAATGTTAACAAGGAAGACGTAATCTATTGCGTTAATAATAATTTGAATCGTTAATTAACTTGTTGGCATTCTTAAACTATTCATGTAATTATATCATGATACACCTCCTTCATCATAATTTATTACTTTATTACTTTTCAGAATAAGTACTTTATTAGCAAGTGATGAACATTGGATAGACATAGTATACGTATCGCTTTAAGTCATGTTATAAATATTGCAACCTAAGTTCTGATTATATGAGTATATAATTACTAGTAGCGTCTAAGCGCTCATGTAATATAACTTAAAGTGACTTATTGAATTGGATCTAATGTAGGACAACCTCTTCTCATATTCTAGTCTGTTTTGAAAATATAATATGTTCACAGCCATTTTAACCTTCTACTTATGAATAAAGAATATCTTTTAATAGGGTTTCTGTCAGATAGTATTTCATTTTGGTAGAGAAAACGTTGAAATATTAGAATTAAGCTTATCCGTAAAGTAGGGTTTGTTATCCAGTTGGAAAAATATCGTTCAACAATAAATCGTGATTGCATCATTTCCCTTTTGCGATGCCTATGCCTGATTATTGACCTGCAATCGCTGGCATTGAAAGTGTATTTGGCGTAACTAATTCTGATATCTTAATTTATCATCTCTAATTAGGCCATTTGCTATTTTCTACTAGTCTTATGCTACTGTTACTGGCAATATGAAAAAAATAATGTTCGTTGACTTGATCTTTCACTAGTGCCAATTCTTGTCTACATTACTACATGAAGGATCAAATGCGGATTGCAATGATATTTCGATCTTTATATTGCACAAAGATAACATGCACTCAGTTCTACTCTAGGCGAATACAACTACTAGCAAGAATTTTAGACAAAGCTACTAAATCATCTAACTTTGCTTGCTTCAATGCTCCTTGTAGCACTTGCAGCTATAATCCGCATAGCACTCATCTACCATCTTTTACAACTATTCAAATTATTCATTAGTTATTAGTGACAATATTTTGCAGCAAATCATCTAGAGTCCAATATGCTAATAGCTACATTATTGACGTCGATACAATATTTATTCTATCGGCAAAAGGACGGTGAACTAGCTATATCCTAAAATAGGAACTACATATCTCTTTTTACCTCGAGCATCAGGAGTGGCCCAACACGCTACCGTAGAGCGTAGAGCATATAACATATGATAGCATACAATGTATAGTTCTTCGGCTCTAACGTGTTCGCCCTAACAGTGGGATTGGTTAACATCGACGATGGATGTATTCATTCTTGCTCTTGGATACTGATGATTTACTGCCTGTTCGTTCATTTCTTTCTTAATATCAAGACTAAACCTCTCCAGATCCTTGGCGTTCTTCACAGTTGTGCAATAACACTCCTACATTATCCACGGTATAATGCAGCTTAGCCATGCCCACCTATCCCAAGAACTCATCAAGCTTAACCGATGGAATTTATTGAGTATGACTTAAACAACTAGGCTGCCAATTAGCGTTCTAGTTTGGCTATATAACTATACTAACCCTAACCCTCACCATGGAATTTTAGAAATAGACCTTTGCTAATGTCCGGGTTAAGAAATATTTGTAGATGTCGATACCCAAAGCCTAAATCCTAACCTTGCTACTATATCTATAGTATCCATTAAACTGTGCAGTACTACAGTACTTCTACCAGTATGTTTATTTCTGATTCGAAATAGAATAAGGGTAAAAATATGGCTCCAACTAACGTACAAATACTGTTCTTTATACCAACATCTAGCTACTGTCCATGCAAGATTGTCAAAGCCCATAGCAATAATCTCTCTATACTTTGCCATCCAAAAATCGATAGAGTAAATAAATAAAATCAAATACTTCCGCTCGAACTGAGGGACTATTTCATACTAATAACTATATATTGGCAGTATTGGAGACGTCCATCCGACATGCTGTATCCTTATTGATTGATTATAACCATCGTTACGGCCAATCCTACCAAACTCTTTCGTCGCCGAAATTTTTGATCCTATTTTTCTTCTCTAGATTGATTGAGAATTGGGCTCTGATTCTTTCGCTTGTGCTAATCTCACGATGGTTATGCTGAAAAATATTCCAAGCATTTTATCACCAGAAATGCTGTATGCCTTGGGCCGAATGGGGCACGGTGATGAGCTAGGTAATAACATTTCTACTTTAGCCGTGATGGTTGTTTCCTTCGACCAGCTTTGTACAGATGGGTGTATTTTTCAACTACGGTGTGGTAGACACGAAAGAAAAGTCAAATGATCAGGCTGTTATGCGGAAGAGTAGTTCTGTCTTGATGTTTCATTTATGGGTAATAATTCTTTTGGCCACTTTTGACCGATTTACTCATCAATCTAGAATTTTTGTCTCAACCAATCGAGGTCGTTCGTTGTTCACAACTAGACAGTTATTACACGTAAGTGTAGAACAAGATGAAGTTAGCTCGAATGCGGTATACGATTTTAGTCAATGAAATGGACATAAATGCGCCTTATTCGTGAAAATAGAGAGCCATAAGCTTAGGTATAGACTTGACAGTAGTTACGATGGATCATAAACAGCTAGGGAATATCTTTACCACCAACTTGGACTAGTAAAATGATATCAAGATAAGCATCATTCCGATTTTGGTGCTGTTCCCATTGCTATTTTGACTCGTCCTATACACTAACTACTCCTATGTAATTGCAATAAACTCTCCACTTGTATTATACTCCTCAAATTCCTATTCGGACTCATTATTACTGCTCATACTATCAGTAATCCATCATACTGATGTCATAAAGTTCTGTCCAAAGATTGCATTTTTACAAATTAAAACGATATACTGTTTGTTAGTAATATATTTGACAAGAGTCATGTCAATCAATAAGTGCTAGTAGCTATTCCCTATTACAGTTTCTACAGCAAATTGTGCGCTAAGGATAGTAAGGTAAGGAAGACAGCTTGATCATGCTAGGATAGTAATTTTCTCATGGATTAATTGAAAATGGCACAATTCATCATCAGCTTACAATTTCTAAATTCGAATTTTTGTAAATTTTGTGCTACTAGCTCAGGTAATAAATGCATTCTCAGACCATCAATAACTTTTTAAGATACTCCTTTAAGCTAGTTTCAGAATGATAACTCTATAGATGTGAGGTCAGCGTTGATCAGGAGATATTATATTAATGTGCATCACTACTACACGCGTATCGATCAGACTTTTTCCTTTTACAAGACTGATTTCTACGCTAGCTATAAAAGGTTTAATAATTAATTCAAAATATTTTCTTTGGCCTAGCATAGCTATGAGTTGATCTGATTTATGTTCAAGAAATATTCAAAGACTGCTGACTGATTTTACTGCAATCCCTTAAGTTCTTGCAGATGCAAATTTTCCAAGTGCTTCGGTTGCTAAGGCTGGCCCAGAAATAATAAGGGCTGATGGTAACTTTATTCTTCCTATGCTAGATAGTCTTGTTCTAATAAATATGTTCCTTACTGCTACTGTAGCATTAGATTGCATTATTACTCTAATTTATTAAAATTGTTCTCAAATTTTGATTGCAATATTTAGGAGTAACAATCCCTCAATTACTGGATGCTATTCTGCAATTAATGCCACTGGATACTTATTCAGCATACATGGTGTATATTGCAATACCTATCAATAGTAATTTGAGAGGCTATGTAATTAATGAAACTATTGAATCGCGTTTTTTTTGTAGGCTGCGGTCATGGACCTTGTTGACAGTGATAAACAGAGGGGTTTAAAAACACCAGTATGGCAAGTATATAGCGATATTATAGAGAAACATGAAGGGAAAAAAGTATGTCAAATCAAAACCTTACAATGACTTTGGTCAGTTGTTTATTCAATAAAATATTCATTTGCCTATAATTATAAAGGTCCCTCTTCACAAGATTGAAAGGTTTGAGTTCTATGATCAGGCAAAAAAAGCGTTTCTCGTTATCGCGACTGGGTCTGTAGAAGTGTAGTGTCTTTAAATTCATAATATGATTGTAAGTTGCTAAATTTTTTGCTTGTATTTTATGTCACGTTTCTTATAGAGAAACTGCACTGTATGGAAACTTGATCTTAAAGAAAGGTGTAATTTCACCAGATTGATATGAATTCATCAACAATGAAATTTAGAGAAGGTTCAACTTTAAATCGATTCTTGCTATCAGGATACTAGATACTGCGATTTGAATAATGTTTGCTAAACTATACACCTTTATGCTAATTTTTTGTAAAGCGGCAATATCTTTTAACCCGTTTATCGTATTTTAACATTTCTCATGTCAATTTTGGAAGCAATTAAAATTATCTGAAGTAGTTAAAAAATCAAGAGGATTGGTGTGAAATGTTATCTCTTTGGGTCTAATTCCATAGTACGTCATAGTGTAAATTTTATGTGTAATGTACGCGAGTAATATATTACTAAAACTGATACATGTGACTGTAATAAATGCGTCTCACAATAACTATCTTAGTCAAATGGTATTTTCTAAAAGGCTTTTATTACAAGGTTTTAGGAATAGTAGAGCAATAATTAATTACTACAAGAATCTAGTCTAAAATCGAAAGTATTCCGAGCTCAAAGCGAAGGGAAGCCTCTTCTCTGCTGTTCTTATAAATATTTCGTTAAATATATTTATGACAACTTGATTAATCTACAATCAGACATGAGTCATCAAACAAAATACTTTTCTCTAAAATAGTTCATCATTATTTTCTACAATCTTAATCATTCTACTTAAGATGTCACTACTCTTCTATTAACGTCTAGCCCTTTCTTCGAAAGGCATCTTAACAACTACAGTGTTTCTAGCTACACAAATCTTGAACCACAATTAGTCAACTGGCTACTATTAGTCATCAACAATTTCTAATATAGTAGTTAGCAATAATCTAATATTAGCTTCACGGTAATATCTATTCAAAGCAACCTAACTATATCAAATATAGCTATCCGTATAATCAAATATGGGTGCATCACTACAGTGACAAATTCAGAACTAATCGTAAGTCGTGGCAGCTCTCAGTTCTTAAGATGATTTTTATGTTAAGTAAATAGAACATTAAATTTTAGAACGCCTATTTAGCTGAAATAATTAAATGATTTGAGATTTGAGTTAGAAGCAAGTGTCGGTACATGTTAATGCTGAAGATGACTGTACAGCTATTGAGCAATAAACGGCAAAAAATAGTGCTGGTTGTAAGCAACTTTCTTTTCGAGTTATGATTTACTCATATCATGATCGAAACTGGTGAAGGTAATAGAACTACCTTGACTATAGCATATTCAGCTGAAAATGCGTATAACATTCATTACGTTGAGTAACCATCTAACCCAGGGTAAAATATACGAAAATATGGACATACCTTTTAAATGAATGAGATTTAAATGCTTATAAAGTATGTCGTTAACTACAAAACGTTAAAGTGTGAAAAGTAGAATAAGAATAAGAATAAGCAAAATCATGTATATTTCCGTACAAATACACAATAACGTTGATCGATAATAAATCAAAATAGTGACTTTTTATTGATCAAGCTCGAGTGGATATTTCGTTTGAAAAAGGAAAATTTGCAAAGCTCATTTTGATAGAAGTCTAAGTTAATAGTGGTTGCCACGAATTACACTATGGGAAAAACACGGATATGCATTAATACAAGGAACTTTACAGTTAATGCACCAATGGATAAAATAATCCTTCACTAAGTCGAAAATGGAATTAAGCTAATACAGGTATGCATGCCATAGAGATGCTCAAGGTAGCGTCATGTTAGTACGGTACAATTCTATCGGCATAAGTATAATCTTCAATGTCATATATTACACAAGATGCTGAAATTAAATTGCATATACAATCCAAATTGATTTACAGTCCGTAAATAATTAATTTATACTCAAAATAATATCAGCGAATCAAATTTAAGTTATACTCAAAGCAATATTGGAGCTAATCGCTAATTAGCTTGGATTACATTCCACATCCCCATCTTTAGATGCCTTCATTTTTCGAAGTTCTTTATGTAATGCTTTTTCGTGTTCTATTATTTGACTTGGCTTCTGATACTGCAAATGAAAGTTTTAAAGATCAAATCAATTACAAAAATGCTGATAGTAACACTAATCAGAAGTAAAAGTCATTGGTAGAAAGTGCATTGAAGGACTTACCGAAATTATTAGGCAGTTATTAGCGTGAGCAAGTTTTACAGCATTTTGATCTAATGGTAAGTGAAATCGATCCATGTCGGGGATACTAATTCTTTTAAAATATCTGCAAGAAATTTTCAATGCTATTATGCAATTATCAACATTTTATACTTTAGCCTATCACAGCTAGTAATGTTGGAGTAGTATAAATTAGGCACGTATATTTTACTGATCGTATGCAAGTAATGGCAAGTGATAAAATGATCACTCTTCCTTTTACTTTTTATTTTTAGTTCTCAAGACAAGTTGTCGCTTTTCATCATCAACTGTTATCGAATAATTATCCAAGGGATAGGGTAAATTACGAATTCTCCACTGAAAGGCATTCTTGCTGTATTTTGCTGAAAATCTAGGCTTATAGAGAAAAGGAACAAATTTAAGTTTTACAGTGTATTTGAAAGAAACATTGGTAAGGGTTTGGAAAAGACTTGAGCCACAAAGACTAAGACTATGGCGTACGAGTTCGCTAACATGCTACTTTACATAACATCTTAACTCTTGCAATTACAAAGGACGAAGATAGGGTAGCCTTCTAGGTTCTGGATTGGATATTTAAGATATGGTACACACAAGTACAAAGATATGCTAAAGACAATCAAGAAATTTTGGTCATGTAAATAATTCATTGCAAAGTATCCACTTAATAATCCATTACCAAAAGCCCATGCACTGATAGCAAACGATATAATTTAACTATTTTACTATTCTCTTACTTTATATAGTTGCGTTGCTACTGTGCCGTATCGATTATAAATGATTCAATTAATTATACATTGGTACCTTGTAGCTACAATGCAACCGTAGGGGTACATTAAATCCAAGATATCCCATCATACTTATGTTAACAACAATCTCAATACTTACTGTTGTATTGCTTTCACGAATACTGAGCTCTTCTATATTGGTGATATTTGTTGCTTCGCCTATTTCATATTCCCATTGACCAGAAGATCCCAAAGTAGATTTCTTGCGAAATTTTCTAACTACATGGAAAGAAAAGAAATGGAAGGAAAATTAAATAAAATTTTAAATGTAATCCAACAGCTGCAACTGTACCTTTTCTATAGTAACTTGGTGAATAGAGTCATGTATAACAACGGTTGGATGAAAAGTAAGGGGATTTCATCGATACGTAACTTCAATATGACTCTATTTACCGTGTTAATTTAAACAATTGTGGCCAGGAAATACTTTACTTAAACGCTAAAAAATATCCATTTTTATACCCATGATCTTATAAAAATGTCCAGATTGATAGAAATAACAGTAATACATGCTAGGAATAGCTCCTTGCTTTGTCAATTATTAGGTATAATAGTATAGTAATGATAGAAAAATAAATACAAAATAGATAAAAATAATACTAATATCGGCTAGAAATAGCTAATTGCTTTATCCATTATAGCTTACAGTAGTACAGAAATGATAGGAAAAAGCTAAGACGCAAATGATGGAGGAATAGCCTATTCAAGTTTACAGCAGATTCCTATTAGCATGATTGAACGCGTCAGTTATACCTGAAAGATCAAACGTTGCCATATCATACTCTTCAGCCATCTCAGTGTGATTTTTGAAGGTATAATGGATCTTTTTACGCCCTATAATTCGATGACACACAGCAAGTCATTACCATTCAAAATTGTTTCTATTACAATAGAGCAAAGTGCAAGGTGTAACAGAATCCGTTATGAACTACAGTATATGTTGGGTTTTCAAGTTACAATGTCAATTTACATATTGATTTTCGTAAGATTATGTAAAAATTAGTATTGGAGGTCTATATACTATAGGCGTATCATGAAGGCTTCCTACTAAGTTATACAGGAGTTGGTCAATGATAGGATATGATATCAGCATTCTATTCAAGTGTAGCTATGGACTAGCAAAATAAGACCTTGGCCTCACATTTGCAGCTTGTGGTTTAACCAACAGTCTAGATGGCATGTCCTATAAAGTAATACTCTATTCGTATTCTATATCTAGATAGAACATGATTCTACAAAGGTTCCATGCTATCTATTAGTAATTTAATGATAGCTGGTCAATTCTTGTGCATAATCTGTATCTGTATTGTATTAACGTTTAACCTATTTCTGTCATGTCAACTGCTGTCCATTAGCACTGGGGGTGTGTACGACAACAAACCTACATACAATATTCCCACCTAGACATCCATCGTTGGTGAATTCTATTGTACATTAGATATTCTCTCCAGGTTTCAACTATTTTTGTGCATCCTATACTGCTGTGCAATCAGTGTACTAAAATATTAGTACTTATGATCTGTAGGTTCTACATCAAGGTTTGCCATCAAAACACTTGTATACAGTAGTTGGTAAATCCTGTCCAACTAAATGGATTCTATCTGGTGTCGATGAAACCCATTGCTATCACCTTCTATGGCATCGACTGTTATTAGTATAGCACTGCATTAGATGGCCTTATACTATCGTAGAATGATGACTTCGTATTGACATGTCGTAGGTTAATCCTATCGTCAAAGTTTTACATCTATTTTACCATCTTGCACAAGGCAAGTTTTCTGAGAAGACTTCAGCATTTCGACCCAGGTAGACATATTGCAGGCTAGATTCTTCTTTGATTCTTCTTCTTATATTGGTGGATGCTCCACGATCTTGTCTTCACCAACGAAATGAAATAATTAATGAATTAATTAGCGGGATTCCGCGCAATTTCCATCCCTGTCCTGTTACCATGGGCTACTAGAAGAGTTGCCTGGATTGATCACTCCCTCAGACAGACAGACTTTTTTTATCAAATGAGGCTGTCCATATCCAAAAGTGCTTACTTAGTATGCAGCTTTCGTGCCTGTTTTCTGAATCATTGGTACTAATTTAAATCACATCGACGATCTTATAGAACTGTTCCCAAGCAAAATTTTGTTATAGATAATTAAATTTAATGTCATGCTATCATTTAATTTAATAAAAAAGTCAGTCAATTTAAAATCGATCGTTCTCATACTAAAGTACTGTCATCAAGAGGCGTTTGGCACAATATTTTGACTAGAGGAGGAAAAGGTGTCTGTCCGTCCAAGAGTGATCAAGCCATGTCTTCTTTCTAGTAGGCCATGACGGTACAGTAAATCGTTTCGAGCTGCAGCCTGTCAGGACACACTATGAACTGTCATGGACTGTTCTAGTACTGTAGTAAACAAGATAAATTAAGGATAGGGAAAATTAGAATTATTAACCAAGTTTCAATAATTATTGATTACCAATTGGGAATGAACAAGTGATGAAAAGTTACCAATTTAATGAATAATTTTCCCAAATAGATGAACCCAAAATTCAAGTTTTTATGAATTGTTAATTAGCAAAAGTTGCCTTTTTAGTTGATAATTTCCCTCAGTTATGTTCTTAATTAATCTTGAACGAGTTCCTCAGTTTTCGCCTGTAATAATTATTACTTCGAAACTATTCCGAACTACTAGTTCACAGTAATGCTGAGATCGAGTGCCTTAGGATGAGAATAACTTGATTACATACTAAAAAGGTTACAGAATACAGTATTAGCAATGAAAAGGCTATAGCTAATAGTAGAACATTAGTCTGGTAATCTCAACTTGGTAAATCTGAGAGGCTACTTTAGCTCTCTCTCTCTCTCTAAGACCCTTTTATACGATCTGGACCCATCTTATTTGTCAATATATTTTGAACAAAACTCGAACACAAATATTCCCTTAATAAGTAGGTAATTTTCGGCCTGAGGTGTGACCAATCGGAGCCTAATCATCGCAGCTAAACAACAGCCTCGCGACCGATCCAACATAGCGCTAATACAAAATCTATAAATATCTAATTCTAATACAGATGACATTATTACATTGCCATATCACGTCTAATAGTGAATTACTTCATTTAGTAAAATTGGATCATTTTAATGGAGAAATGATAAATTCAACGTCTTCAGCTGAAAGGTACAGTAACTCAGTCGGTTGTAGCTTTCAATCAGAAACGCCATTGCCGCTAAATTCACTTTTTAGACACTAGTAAACAGTATTTAATGTAGTATTTCACAACTCTATAGTAATCCTATATTTATCCGCGGCTGACGAGTACCAAACAGCTTTTGAAATTTAGGGAACGAGAAAAGTTAAAGTATGCTCGGCTACTACAGTGATAGACTTCTAGGGGTATACATTATACCATAAACTACTAGAAGAAGACCTTAGCTTCTAGTAGTCCATGATTATACAGTCCATACTGCACACTAACGGAATCGACTCCTTAAATACTGATGAGCCAGCGTTAAAACCATGTTGCCATGACAACTTTTGACCGTCTGCTAATTTCCGTTCATGAAGGTCAATGATTAAGAAGAATCTTCATCAATTTATAAAAGTAGAATCGAATAGATGGAAGCTTTAATTTCCTCACCAACATTTCCATTACCTGGATTATCCAAAAATAATATCAGCAAATCACCACCTTTAAAGTAAGACTATATGAGAAATAAATCGGCTACAAACTACAAGTTGTTTAGCTATTGTCAGTGATAGCATCAACAGTCATTAACATCCCACTGAGTAGCGCTTAACTTAAGTAGTGATATTATTTACAAAATTGGAGTTTAATTATTGCACTTGATTTATTTTCTTTTTTTTTACTGGTAATTATAACTTAACTTTCAATATAAACTATGAGTAATCAATTCATCATTATGATAATGTAATTATATTCGCATACCAGAATCGAGGGTGAGAAAATGAACGGATTGAATAGTTCATCGAACGAAGAGAAAAAGTCACCTAGGGTAAGATATATAGATATGCGTTTGCATGCATTAATGGCAACTTGTTGCTATCCAATCGGGTGGTATTATTTAAAATACAATAAAGTACTCCATGACTCGATTTTTTATTTTAATTTCGGGTCGCTTGTATGTAAACTGAAACGAAAGGATTACCTTAAATATGTGTGATAATGGTTGATAGGAAATAATTGACCTAGACGTGGTAAAACGATGATTTACCATTGTCTAGATATAATTGTTGCTATAATTATGTTATCAAATCGAACTGCCCCAAATACGAATACATCTGCTTTTTCTTTGTCCGACTTATACGATTAACACCATCAATAAAAATATCAGACTAAGACCTCAAAAAGGGTAGCGACAGCATAGGCAACTGCTTTTTTAATTAGATTCAGAAATTATACCTTACATCCACCTTACATCCAGTGCTTCACTTGTTTATAGTATAGATCCTTGAAGTTTCAAAGGTAAATTTGAATACTCTCATTTAATAAGAGTAGAAATAACGGTACAATCAATATTTATAAAATTTTAGTAATTCGCCAGTAGATTATACTCACTACTAGGTGCAAAATTAATGAAAAACATAATTGTCATGACCATGTTATAGTTAGTTATAGACTAAACTGATATCATATTTATCGAAGATGATGTCTTCAAGATTGCTACTCACTTTGAACTTTAGTATATGCATAGAAAATTGCTAGTTCCGTTCTTAAAATAAACTTCACAGAAAATTTTATGGATAGTAAAATAAATTAATCCTAAACCTGAACCATAGTTCCTTGCTAGTAAATTTAAAGAGATATTTTACTCAAAATAATTTGATCTACGGCTGATATATAATCCAAACTATGTAATTCTGCTTGATGCAATTCATTAACAGTAGTTATTTTGACAATATAGCGATTGAATTTTAATTGTAAATGACTCTATCTTACAATATGTTGTAGGGACTACTCAATTTCTTTTTTCATAGTTTTCATACAAAATACTTAGTTTAGTATATTCCTATCCCAAACTAGCACCTAACTCTATAGAAAATATGTTACGTCCCAATTCTTTCTCCTTCTTTAATAATTTTCCGTTTTTTTACTTGATTTCACTAATAAAATAACGGCATTTATGAATATATTTTGAAGCCAGTGTCGTAGCTGGTGAAGTAACTAAAAAATTGCCGCTTTATAATACGTTGGAATGCTTTAATTTTGAATTAACTGATACAGTAAGAGTCTGCAAATTAATATTAAAACCTATATAATTAATTCATAAAGGAAGAATTACTGAACGTGGAAGCTAAACTAGCGCTACTTAAGTTTAATAAGTGAACCAAAGCACTATTTTGTATTCATCGGAAGGCATTAGATGCGCTTCAAGTCTGATACTCTTGGCTGCAGGATATTATTAGTTACAATTGTCTCTGTATTTAGGCACATTTACTTAAGCCAGTGAGAGTAAGACCAAGAACACAAGTAGGAACTACAAATCGCTGGCGGTTTCCCGAATCATCTGGTGGTGATCTACTAGGAACGTCACAAGCAGTAAAATCTGTACCGGCAATTGATGATACTCCGTTTATTCCTATAATAAACTATCAGAGTAAGTGTGATACTAATGATATCATGCATACATTGATCACTGAATAACAAAATGCTGATGGTTACATTGATTCTTTAATATATGCTATAGCTTATTCGGAATTTGAACAGCAAAACATACCAGTAGATCATGAAGAAGTCAAACCTCTACCTGGTATTGATGGCAAATTTGCCAGTGGAGAAGAAACTAGAATCATAAAGCCTACTAAATCGACCTATTTCATGTAAGTTAAATCTTCTAGCGGAGACCGCAGATTGATCGTAGCCTATACTAAACAATTAACAAAGGAACAATAAACTGGATTACTAGTATATTTAAATAGATTAACCGCGTTATTAAGTTGTGAGCTTATTTAATTAACAAAATAATTACTTTTCGACCACCAAATGAAATTAATAGTAGTTAATATAATAGTAAAGCCTCAATAAAATTTAAACAGCTTTAACTATAGTTATTAAAATATCATATTTATAATATTCACGCAAACTATACTGTACTTCATTACTGATTACAAAGCTAAGGGATTGAATATTCACATTACGCTAGGGATTTTTTGAGCTATTTTAGATTTGTACGACAGAATGTTACTTGAATCTGATATATCTCTAACTCTTTTTATCGCTAACAAACGTAATTTAGACCAAAAGAGAAGAAAACTAAACTATCACCAGAAGCTTTCCACTATCATTCTAGATCAACTACATCTCCGTATGAGCCAGGTAAATAGTATAATTTTGATATCGTAAAGCATCCTTCTTCTGATAACTGCTGATTCTTAGAAATATATACTTAAATGTACGGTATATGATGATACTCTATGATATCATGCCTATACTATTTTAGATGTTATATTATCTTGCTTGGGAACTCTTTGGGAATTACACAAGCCATTTCTACAGCGCTCTAATAAACTAACCGCGTTGTTAGAGAAAGCTGGCGATAGATCAGCTGCTACGTATACTAATCGCATAGATCATAATCATGATCGTCAGATTACATCGAAATATAGAGCCGGTACCATTAATAAACTTACATATTTTTAATATTTTCAAACGGTACCATATTTCTGTGGTAATTAAAATCAAATATTTTTGATATTTAATTTAGGGCTTATAAGCGGCTCAGAAATGAATATTTCATCGGAATTACCTGATCACAAAAGGCAACAACATGATACCGTTACAAAGGCAGATGATCAATTGATTAAAATTAAACTATCGGCCAATGATCCAAATATTGATAAGGAAGGTACTGATTACTTTCAAAAAGTTCATTAATTTCATATATCAAATTTTACTTCATTGGATGTTGCTTTTGTCAATAGCAAATAAGTATTTCTCGATAACTTAGATAAACAAATTAATAACTTCGTCATTACTTATTCATAGCCTTTGCTATTGCAATTTGCAATCTATACCGAGATGACATGATTGTTGATGAAACACACGTAATTGGCGTACTAGCGGCTGCCCATCAGTTACAGTTCTCGAAATTAGAGAATAAGTAAGTGTTCGCAATTGCATATGATAATGAAATAAAGGCATCATTTACGGCTAAATCACAAAATAGTTATCACAGCCATACTTGCGGAAGGTTTATATATGCTTTGATGTCAGTATTGATATCATATAATTTGCAACTTAATTATCTGCTAATTTTACGTAGATGTGCACAAGTGATGCTCAAAAGTATCGAATTATCTAACGTGGCTCAGTATCATCAAATGGCAACAAAGGTATCTTGATCAATGCGTATTAATAGAATAAATCGATCATCAATTTTGGTATTTATTGTGACTATGTTTGATTTTATCATATATCGAGACGATGCTAAATTAAAAGAAAATGATTTAGTATAAAAATATATAACCATATTTCAATATTGAAGATTGTTCTAATCTACAATGATTAAAATTATCTTGTAAGAATTTATAACTGCAAATATACCAAATATTTTATTTTTATTTACTTTCGTAGATACTAGTTTCATCAGTAAAAGATTTTACTAATTTATTCGCTAAAAATGTCATTAAATACTATCTAAATAGCAAAGTTATTCTAGTTCTAAAGAGACTACAGCTCGCATCACTAATTATATTTCCTATTTGATAGTGCAAGCAATCTACTGTTGCTGTGGCTTGTGAAAGATGGCTAGAAATTAATTTAATGCCACTGGTACATAAGTATTTTTATATCGATTTCATAACACTTTGTTTTACTCGTATATCTATAATCAGTTACTACATTCACTTCGTTTTTCAAAAAGTAATGCAGCAAGAAAATTTTAAGTTTCACGTAGTATCTAACCCTAATTTTCAATTGCTTGCTTTGAAACAACTATATAAAATCCTATTTGTATTGGCACAGATGTCTAAACGGATAAACCTGAGGCAATTGTCATTAGATCTACTACATAAAATTATTCAATCTCCGAGGTAAAATATTGTAAGAATAGCATGTGCTTAAAAACTTTAACAACCACTCGCTCTGATCTAAAGTAATTTGGAAACTGTATTACTTTCTTGATTCTCATAGATTTTTTACGTACAATGAATATGATGTTTTCAAGCTCGTTTGCGTGTGGATTTACTTAAGGGAGAACAGTTCAGAGATGGTAATAATTTAATTTATAGAACTACTTGCAAATTTAATCCATGTTTAATTCATTAGCGGGGCTACAGCTTGTAATAGAAGCTTCATTAATGGCTATTATTAGAGAAAAATATTTATATTATAAAGTTAAAATATTACTTTTAGCACTATGCTTCTTTCTTATTAGAGTAAATGAAATTGGTACATACGTTCACAAAATGTTAAATACTAATAAGCTCATTTAACATTCACAGATTAAATTTGCCTTGAACTATAACTTTACTTGGATTTATTTTATTCTGTTTGTAGTTAATGCCGACCTATGCCACCGTAGTTCAATACTTTGAAAGGTTAGTGTAAATTTTAGCTGGTAAGCGTTATAAGATAAATTAGCAGTACCTCTGTATAGATTATATATAATAATGTTAAGTTGCTTAACATTTTTTGCATTGCATTAAATTATCAAATGCTTGTGTGGTTCCTATTTAAAACTGATATTTTGAATGTTCACGATTTTTTTTAATTACAGTATACCTAAAAATATATGTTTCCTCCTTGGTGCTGAGGTTTGATAAATAGAAATAGTACAGGCCTGAAATTCAATTGAATATTGATATTTATCATCCCTAAAAGCTTGACTAAATAGTTTTATATTGAATTGGTTACCATAGGGCAAAAAGTATACGAGCATATTTCAAATCATTCGTTACAATGGCATCATTGATGGTGAGTTTAATGCAAACTCTCTTGAAAATGAGTTTAAAGATCAAATGGCTAGCGTATTTAAGAGACGGTTATAATGATGCTCTATAGAGAAGCTTACTGCACAGGATACCTTTCAAATTGTGTTATAGCCCTGCTATGCTATAATAGAATTACATTTAAAAATTTTGCTTTACCGACTAAACTATTACATTGAATTGTGCTATTAACTAGTGATTTGCAACCAATTATTACCAATGTTCTTTAAATTTTAGTGAGACATTTGGATGAAATCGAAAAAATGAATATTTTTCCTCAAAGTCATTTCTATTCTCTATTGCATCAACATTACCACAGTGTAAGTTTACTAACCTCAATTACCTGACCATTTATAAAATTGTTTGCCTTCATATACTTTATAACCGCTTGATTATTTTATCTAAACATATTAGCTACAAAATGGAGGTGATATGTTGCTTGATCCACGAATAGAATTAAATGGTATTAGAATAGGATTTATCCTACAAGAGGTAGAAAAAAATTCGTCATTAATTTTTATCATGTAAATCTGAGTTATAGTATTTATTAAAATTTCTATAACCAATCTTTAAAGGCAATGTCAAGTCAAAAAACGAGTAATTTCTATTTATTCCTTCATAAGCTTTTACTCATTAAAAGGTGCGCTATCACTGTTGATACTACAAGCTAAAGCCGTTTTCGATGTAATTTTACAGGAACCTAAATTTCATTCGGAGTTAATAGCCTTGCATGGATTTTACTTTGAAGCCAAAGCAATTAGGCAAAGCCATCCAAATTCTTACAGTTTCTATATGCAGGTAAATATAAATTAGATGATAGAACTTTCATTATTGATCTTGAATAACATTGCTTTAGAGTAATAAACGCAAATCGAAGCAGTATTAAGAAATAGATAATTTCGATCTTTAAACGAATCTTTTAATAAGATACGATCTCGTAGTAGATAATGGCGACTTACGAATACCTTTTTTATGTGATGAAGCAGTTATAGCTGGGTTTGAAAAGTAATTTTAGTACCGTACTTGTTCTACTTCAAAATTGTAAACTACAATCACATTTTAACTTATGTGTAACATCTGAAGTATACAATGATAGACTTTTTATAATCTAATCAGATGATAAATTCGCTGGTCTTTATTTTATTAGTAAGAATGTTATCACGCTTGCTAATATTTGTAATATGCTATTAGTAAACCATTAGGTTTTATGCAACTTTTAAATGGTATAGTCAGAGGACAATGTATGTAGTTCTATACTTTATCTCTGTATATTTCTAGCTGATCTTCCTTGTTTCGAAGTAAAAGAATTTCGAAAATGCAATAAAGATTATCATATTACGTTTCCTAAGTTAGTTAACTTGATCTATCTATGATTGAGGGCCACTATAGGATGTTCCAAAAGGATATTTGAATAATGCTCGAATTTGAAAATAATATTAATATTGTATCACAAGTCATCTCAGATAAAATAAGTAAAGCTGTAGTTACATCCTAAACGTTTATTTGGCACTAACATCGGATTATAATTTCATCTTAGCGTATTCGGCCTACAGATAATGTTCTATCCTATAAAGAATGTGAGCGCCAAGCATTTTCAGTACGGCCGGAAAGAAAGGTAACGTATAATAGCAATTTAACGTCAATAGAAATTTGTGTATTTGTTCTAATGGATTGCTCTTGGTGTACTGTAGTGCAATAGTAATTTTATAATTATTAATTCAAATATTTCGTGGTAACTTTAATGAGTAACAGTTTATAAAACATTAATATTCCTACAGACAATGTACATTGTTCGTGTTCAGAGTACACAGGGCGGCAACTATAAAGTTCATAAAACAGGTAACTCAGCACGATCGAAGAATATTGAATTAGGCTCAAATTTTAATTTCTATGTTTCAGTCTGCTTGAACGGTTGGCCGTAGCTTAAATTTAAATCAAGCTCTATTTATACTGAGTTCAAGTTTGAGTAATTTATCTACGATAAAAAAGTCAGTCACTGTCCATTTCATCTTAAATAATCATGTTCAGCTTAACTTAATATCAAAATAAGCATTTATTGCGTCTATTATTCATTAATTTCATCGTTAAGTAATTAGCATTCTGTAATATTTCAACTGTTCTAATAGATATTAAATTTGAATTAAAGTCATAATATTACTAATAAGGTTGAGTTAATGACCTTATCCTTTACAGTACTCGATATCTGATTTATCATTTCTGCTACAATTAGAGAGCAGTAATACGTATAAACTACGCTAATATGTAAAAACACGCTGTGATATAAGCAAATCGTACACCGTGGCAGCTGATTTACTAAAACCAATTAATTCTTAATTCTTAGACATGTTAACTCATAATTTTAGCATGACAACTCATGGAAGAAAAAGTCAAGTAAGTCGAAATTACCAAATTTTAAGCTTAGTATCGGATCGAATGCAGTTACATTTCATTTCTTGAAATTTCATTTTATTTTTTGTGAAGGTTTTGACTGTTGATGGACTCCAGTTACCAGTATACGTCACATTTACTATTTTTTTTCCACCGAGTGATTAGTCATTGACTGTATAACGACCATTAAGCACGTAAAATGGAATTGTTGAAAATTATAGAAATATCGACTGTTTCTGGTGTCATTTTGTAATGAGCGACGTATCATAAAGTTAATTAATTGCACTATGAAAATTTTTTCTTAGTTTCTCTTGAGTTAATCAGTATATAGTATTATAGCTCGATAAATTTTCTTTGAAGTTAAAAAGTTATCTGATAACGATCAGATAGTGGCTATATGATGTATGAAATCTCCTAATAAGAAACGAGCAGGAAATATTAACTTTAGAATACTGTATAAAAAAGATAGTTCATTTCTAAAATAGCTTCTTTTAGAGCTATAAGCCGGAGACGAACAAATTCGTTATCACGCATTTCAGTTATCCAGGTAAAAACTTGGAATGCTCCTAATTTCAATAGATGCCTACATATCTATAAATATTTGTAAAAACTCATTTTAACCACTCAAGCAAATGTAATCTTTTTAATAAATTCGACGTAATCTTTTAACTAATTAAAAGGATTTACGAATTCTAACATTTTTTTAGCCATTATCCTTGTTACTATATTGCGAGAGAATTTTGGTGCTATAAGTACGCTGACCATAGTAAAATAGAAGTATTAGCGTTGTAATAACCCTTGCCTCCTAATAGAGTTAACTTGTTAGCTGCTTAAGTTTTCTATAATATAGAGAAATTCTATCGTCAGTTGCGTCTTATTGCTAGATTATCACTATAGTATTCATTAGGCTAAGCATTCTGAGGTTCATTATCGAATAATTTTAGGGTTCTGTGGTAAGAAGAAAAAATTATAGTACTGTATTTTACTGGTAAAACTAATGGAAATTATAAAATGCTATCGAGAGGAACCGTTACTATAAATATTAGAATCCACGCTAGTTATACAGTATTTCGTGTACTTTATACGGTCTGTATATACTTGTGCTATTTACTTTATAATTTATCAAGGCCCACTCAAATATCATTTCATGTTAGAGTAAGTAATAATACTAAGCAGTTGCTACCGTGGGCAATTGCTTAACTTGTTACTAGAGTTTCTTATCATGATCAACGTTAAGTACAGTATATACGGGTATATGCAATATTATAATACTTTCCTATACTTGAACGTATCCATTTAACTATAAATAAAATTTAGATTTATTTATTGAAACAAGATTATAGCTATCCAATAAAAGTAGACCGAATTAGCGCAATAAAATTAAATATAAAAAATCGTTTTAAAATAGTTATTATATAAGGAACTATAGACAGATTTCATTTATTTGAACTACCTCTTAAATTTAACTACAAAATAAAAAGTTTAAATATTAGAGGCTTTTAGCCCGTTTAAATTAAAAGTCAATGTCCAGAATCTTTGATCCGTTAATTTCTTAGCTGCATATGATTAATAACCATAATTAATCCGATATCGATTTCTATTGCACTAACTATTATATGCGAAATGCAATAACCACTGTCGATTTTCTGAAGCCATAATATGAAATAATACTTGTACGCGGCTACTTTGAAGCTGAAAAGAGTAAAAGCAGTCATAATTACACCTAAAGCTAGTTGAATTTTCACCGAGCAGTACTGTGGAACTCTAGATCATATGTAAATCGAATTAAAAAAACTTAAAATGGCAACGTCTACACAGGAAATAATCTGCGTAGAATTTACGAAGACAAACAGCTAGCTGGTTGGAAAATCGGACTTTATGATATCAAATCCATTAATAATCAGACACGCGGGGCTAAAATAGGCAAAAGCAAGTTTGATAGCTAAATCAAACATAAATCACTAGAAATAAATATTAAATGTTAATGTAATATGCGAGAGCTTACGAGTTATGGTATATTGTGGAGTACTTTTACCTATTAACAATCTGAAATGAGGAGCTGAAATAGGCCACACCAGTTTGATAGCTAAATTAAGCATGAATTGCTTGAATTAAATATCAATTGTCCGGGTAATGTGCGAGAACTTGCTAGCTGTGCTATGCTACGAAGTATTTTTACCTTTATTGGTTACAGTATTATAATTATGTGGCTTAAATTACTGACGTTACAGTACCCATAATTATATAGGGAAAATTAAGGTGCCGTTGGAATGCATGTAACAGATGCGATACAGCATGTGCCAAAGTAATGAAAATAATTTCTTAATTTTTATTGCATTATACATTTTATATTTTAAAAATTTAACTGTGCTGTAGAAATTATCATGCTTACGTCTAGCTTGTTATCGGAGGCTAGAATCGCTACTGTAAGTATAAAATCACCGATGTTTGAGCTACTAAGCTCAAGCTGCAAAGGTGAAAGATTATTTATCAAATATACAATCAATGATATGTTTGCAAATAAAGTTAAGATTGAAGTAATGAGTGATCGAGCTCCAGAGAAATATTTCAACTATTTCACTTATTCAAGAAGTACCTTCAGCATTGTATAGCATATGTTATCGGTACATTTATTTGCATACTCCATTTTTTATGAATCACAGAATTATGGAATAATTTCATAGTGTGCAATTTAAGAGATGCCCTTTATTTTTCATGTTGCAATAATATTCAGAATTATAGTATGTCGTCGTTTTATTAATAATGCTAATTTTATTTGGCAATACAAGATCAAGTGACTTTATATTAAAATCATTCGATGCAAATGTAATACGGCTTTAATTAAGAAATGATAGTTATTTATTATGATAAATAGCTAATTTTATAAATTAGAGGAATGAATTTTGAATTGGTTGTTGAATAAGCTTTAATTAAAAACGTAATTCATGGCATGGTGGTAATGAACTGATTATGAGATTGTATTTTTCTTGATATGTAAATAATTTATTCGTTATTCAGTAATTATAATCATGCTATCATTTATTGTCACGTAGAGCCTAATCAAATAATTACTGTAACTTCTCGTTTTAATTAGATTTATAGGAGATAAACGCATATATCATTATGCATGGCTAATGGGAGCTCTCAATCTAACTTTTCATTGGTAGCTTAACGTTGATCCAGAACTATTGCGGATATGTATAGCCTAGTTTTCTTGACTATGCCTACTTATTTATGAGCTCAGGTATATGATTATGGTAAATCTATCGATTGAAACAGGCTGTATATTTCATAGCCTATTAATGGAAGTAACTCCGATAAAATGGTCTGATTTTTTATTATTTAACGAACTAACTTTTTTATCCTATTAAAGAAAATAGTAATAAAAATTTTCTCCTTTAACCAAATAGATAAACGAGTTGTTGATTAAATAGAATTAATTAAAGTAGCTATAACGCTAATCAATTAAAAGTTTGCCATTCACCGTTTTAAATTAGCGAATTAATTACTCTTGGTAATTGTAGAAATATTAGTGTTAATATATTAATTTAAAATAGTTGTTATTCTTAATATCTTGTGTACAAAACAATTTATTTACATTGTTATAACCTTTTATTAAATAAATTCGGTAGTATTAAACTAAATGAGGTCAAGAAATACAATCTTGGGCTCTTGCTTTTTATCATTTAAGTACATAAATAATTTTTGAATAAAGGCTTACATTAATCTTGCCTTACTCTTGCTACCTAGAAAAACTTATAGTTATATTGCTAAATTTAAGTAGTTCTTTTGCATGTTCCTGCAAAAAAGGATCAGAGTTCATTGTCAATTCATTTTGAACTTTTGGCTATACACCACGCCTGAGCAGCTGCATCGATCCCACGATACCTCCAAAAGTATTTAAATTTCTAAAGAAGCTCAAACATTCGCACAAAAAATTCTACTAAATAGTGAACACTTACTCACTTCCGGGACAAAATCAAAAGATTATAGCAGTTATGTCTTCATGGACACAACTATTAAGGATTTATTATTATGATTGTAATCCACTAGCGTTCATTCAAGCTCATTTCGTATCGATAAAATCAAGCCTAATCAATAGCATTTCATAGATGAGAATTGAATGATTTAGAGTTACTTTTTAGCTTATGCAACGATTTAATTACTAGTAAGTAAGTAATTACTTACCGATAAAGGCGAATACTTTATTGCTTGCAAGTCAACTTATGATTCATTTGTTCAAACTCATATTGTATCGATAAAATAAGTCTAATGAATAGCATTTCGTCAATAAGAACTAAAAGATTTATAGCTCTTTAAGTTCTTAACACGATCTAATTACTGGTAGCTCAGTTACACTAACAAACAAGAGCTGATATAGGTTACGAATTAACTTTGTTGTATTAATTTAAGATATTTCAAATTTAATTACTAAATATTTTTTATTCGAGCTTAGTAGTAGATCATTCATGGAACTAATATAATATTAACTAATACTACTTGCAAGGTCAAGAAAATTTAGTAATTACTATGAAGTTATAATCTATTTTATCTCTAAATCAAATCGAAGAGCCGTATTAGAGAACTCTGCTATCTGACTAAAACAATAATTTAGCCGTATTAGGTTTGTCAGGTTATAAGCTCTTGTGTTAATGTCACGGTACGAACTACCTTGAAGAAATAGCTATCTAAATTTGGTGAATATAATATAGTGATAATATATTACAACTAGTTGCTTAAAATAGGAATTGCTCTAATTATAAATGTGTTACAGTAAATTTAATGTTGTGCTGTAAGGTGCACTGAAATGATTCTGTGAATGGACATGTTTTAGTCCGACCTTGAAAAATTAGTTAGTAGATGTTCTCACCAAGTATTGTTATAAGATAACTCATGGATGTTAGCTGCTGTAGAATGGTATATAAGCCCGTCAGATGGTTGAATAAAGTAGTTCTCAATTGTCTAGTTGAGTTTAATGTAGAATCAAAGGCGTCTAAATTCTTGTGAGTAGAGATACTGAATCCGCAGATTTTTAGAGATTTAGAGATTTATTCTACGTTGTCCTTGTCACGAAGCTGGTTTGTGACAGTCAGTTAACGTTAACTTACTAAAATCATCTTTCTAATAATTTCATCGATAATTATATATGCAATCTTTAAGGGAACATTGCCACTGAGAAAATATTTTTACATCAAAAATAATTTACTGCGTATTCTTTGATTACGATTACTTTACAAATAATTTACTGATGCAGTAGCCCTGATAAACAACATTTGAGACACCATAATGTTACAAGAGTTATTTTTTTCATCGATCTATTAATGTATTGATACAAACTTGGGATTTCACTGGTAGAGTTTATGGGCATGCTTACTGTGGATATAAAAATTGTTAACCTATTCATTTTATTTGCCATTGCAGCGCTCAAACAATCTTAAATATTATTCGTCACATTGATTACATTTTCAGTAGGCGTCAATTGTAGTAGGTGTACTATTTGTGTCATTATCTATGATATATTTCAGAAAGCATAGCGGAAATATTGATATTTTTGAGATTATTTTGTATTCTATACTTAGCATTGGTGTAATATCAATGTAAATTCAATATAAAACAAGGAAAATTCAACAATACTTGTAATCTTGACAACGATGGCAAGATGCCATACGGCATACTTGTATAATGATTGCACGATGATCAACTTGTATCATAAAACAGAAATTCATACAGCACATGTATGCGTATATCTGCATAAAGCAAGGTGAAAAATCTCTTTTAATTTAAGCACTACAATTATTGATGTTATTGACGCTTTATAAGTATCAGTAATAATTATAATCCTCATTACATAGTGCAAGTAAGTAATTTTGTAATAAATTGAATTCACGAATTTTTTTATACCAATAATGCAGTAGGTCCTTAAAATTGATAGGATATATGACATTACTTTGAACTTTTACTACAGTAATTGTGCATGGTAAATGAAGTATAATACACTCTCATAACTGCTCCACAGTATGTGGTATTACAGCTATTGCAATTAGATCGTAATTTTCCTTAACTATTTTAATTTTTATTTCCTGACTAAGATTATGACCAACCATGTATAACATATAAGCTATTTGGGCTCGTAATAGTAGGCCCCCCAAAAACCTTCAATTGTATAATTACATACTTGTAAATCTATATGTGATTTCTATAACTCAACGTTCTCATAAGTGTAACTGGAATTTGACAGCTAGTCGGTTCAATTTTTATCTACTCGTAATACTGAATTACTCACTTACTTAGCTTACGAGAATGGCAATATGTAGCAAAATATGCTTTATTACTAATGGTTGTAAAGACTTATGTAATCTATTAACTAAACATATATCCTCAAAATTAAAATTGCATAAGGACGTTCAGAGAACTCAAAAAGTATATATTAAATTAGCGAAAGTAGGCAGCTAAATTCAAATCATATAACAATTATAGAGTTAAAAGAATAAAGCGAAATTATTAATCTATATTACTACACAGTCTTACGTACGGATTCTTGTATACTTTTTGATCATCAGTGCCTAATATAATCGATGTAATGGGCATCATCATCTCTTAATGCAATAATTTGATAATAAAATGCTTAATACTAGTAAAAGATCAAAGGCAGAAATTAAGTAGCAATGCATTTAACTGGAGTGAAAGATACGAGCGTAAATTTTAGCTACATTAGTGCAAATTTAATGAATTCCTTTTATGTCGTTTTTATTGGATTACGATTATGATATTTTTTGTACGCGCTAGCCAAACATAGCCTATATATACAACTCACGTTACTAATGTATCTTACTATTTTCATACAGTATAGCTCTACCAGGTCTGAGCTAATCAATAAAAATTCTTGTAGTAATCTGAAAATTGAAGTAAAATGGCTGTATTATATATCTGGATAAAGTATTTATTAACATTTGTTAATTCACTTAACGATTAAAATACTTCCCCTTTACTATATTTAATATTTTTATTTGAAGGTAGCCTTTCAGAATAGAACAAGTTTGAGAAGGTATTGTCTATGCAAATTGTCAGATTAATGATTGGTAATATTGGTTGGAAGTGAAAACGACTCGGAATCCTAAAATCGTTGGCTTGCCTAATGTAAATTTCCTAAATTAATAAATTTCAGCTTATAAAATACTGTCATTTAGAGTTAGCTTCTTTATTTTATGAAACAATTAATCACAATATGACGGTAAAATGCTGTAATGTATACCACAGCATCAATTTCTAAATTGCAATTATTTGCTAGTAAATTGGTATTATTGATGCTGGTCTCTTCATATTCCTTACATTAAGTCATACAGTAGACAACACCAATTGCTGGAATTTCAGTTTATCTTAAAGAAAATTTATTTGAAATAAATTTAAAAATTATGCTCGAATACTTAAGATTGAAATAGTAATATGTAGATAATGCTATATTACTAAATGGATTTAATACCTGTTGGTATATAATGCACTGATTCTGGCACAGTACAAAGCCAAAAATATTTTATTACTTTTACAATTCATTTCATGGTATAGACGAAATGTCCTTGAAATTGTAGCTTCTTGAAGAAATCATGGCATGTTACGCACTATTAATAGACCAAAACTAATATGCAAGATAATTATTTGCTTTTCGACGTTTTGATAATTTTATATGTAAGGTAATGTAAGGATAATTTACATTTTCAATTTTTCCACTTTCAGTTCCTGTAGATGGATGGCTGCGTGCCAAAATAACAAGTACTAATGAAGATCGTAATTTTAGTGGCATTATAATAGCGTAGCAAAGCCAATGTAACCAATTGAAGGGATCATTAACCGAAATTATTTTAAATCATGACAGTTTTCAAAGTTGTATATTTTATTGGAAGCTCTTTTTGTATCCAAATTAGTTCTGCCAGCTAATATACGAACTATAAATACAGATTCAATTAGCATTGATATTAGTATGGCTCGTAGGATTTTAACCTAATTTTAAGTCGTAATAAAGACAGCCTTTTGCTTCTAGCTATCATTTCTGTACAACACTGAAGCTTTCACTAATTTCTCGACTTAAAATATAGCAGATACTTTTATCCAAATTATCTTCAGCGAAAATCGTAAAATATTTGGCATATACGTCCTCGCTATAATATTAAGATATATTACAAGAAAAATGCTTATAAAATGTTAAAATTAAAGCCAAAACTTACTACTAGTTGCAGGTAATCTTGTGTAGTTTTACTAACTAATTCAATTATATTTTATCTACACTATGCCAGCGCGTCTGGATTTGCTATTCTAGATCAATTATTTTCTTGTTCTACATGATCAATTTTTAATTGCCAGACTTAAGGGCATACCTTGCACTTTCTTGAAGGTAATTTTATCATCAAGGCGATTATGATAGTAACACTTCCGGATGCATTCCGATGCTTTTTTGTGATAATATTGTAAAATGCCAAAGAAGATTGCGTAACTTTTCCAGTTGGTTCTAGATTACTGTAATGCATACCTCCGTCTCAAAGTCAAAGCAATAAACAAGTTCATTCATATACTTTCATTTACAGCGTATTCAAATTATAAAATGATCGGATGATTAGACAATATCATTCAAGCAGCCGAACCTATTTAGCAAAAAATGAATGTGTTTCATTTTTCTTGTTATATTCGGGTAATAGCGTCTGATAGTATACTCTGATGCTTAAAATTTAAACAGAAAATATGTAGAAAAGTATTTGATATTTCGGCAACTCATTTGCATAGTACACTGTAACACCGACAATTAAAGCTATGCAATCATTCTGGCTCCAGATCAAGCGCGGTATGACGTTTTTCACATCAAATAAAGTTAGCGGCTGCGGAGGCTGCAAAATTTATGATGTAGGTTCTTTTATCTCTAATTTGATCGACTAACCGTTCATACTGCATGCAGTAGCTGCCTTCAAATCGATACAAAATCATCATTACAATATTTATTAATCTCTATTATCATTATGTACCATGCACCTAAAATTGTGCGTAATCCATGTAATTTACATTCTATTTTCTCAATCCATACCTACACTGCATTGCTGTATATGTTTGCACACGGTAATCAAACTTGAATTTCTGTTAACATTAAGTTATATGATTGACAGTTGTTGAACAATGGAGTATAACTGCTCGATAGCTAGCTACTGTGCAATTATTCTTCCATAATTTAAGTAGAGTAACAAAGAAAGAGGAGAAAATAGGTTAAATAGATTTGTCCTGTTATTGAGTACTTTAGTTTAAAGTTAACTACTTAGCAGTTACTTGTTTCTAGCGCTTAGTTCTTCATTATTACAGCCGCATAACTTGTAGATATCAGTAATCACTATTGCTAAAGATATATTAACCATGTATAATATTATAAATTTAACTACCCCAGTAAATAACTGATTTGTCGATACATTGACTATTTAGATAAATTAGAGCTGAACATTGATAATAGTTAACTAACCAAATTGACTACTTGCGCAAAATTGAACAATTTCCAAGTTGGTTGTACAGTAGTTTCTGTACATGAACAAATTTGAGTGGTGATGACCGCAGTTTACTTCGGCTAAAGAATACAGAATTGATCTATTTTTATATTGAACTCTCATCTCTTTAGAATTTTAAAATCTTGCTGAAAAATTGGCTTTACCAGCTACTTATTTCCGTATTCATATTTCTTGGAAATGCTGTAATTTTAAAGTCAATCCTCTTTCAAATTGAAGGCTATCCGTCTTACAAGTGGCTATAGCGAAATTATATTACTTAATTGATACCGTTATAACGATCAACCAACTTGATTTCTTAAAATTTAATTTGCACTAGCTGCTGGATATAGAACTTAAGTGCCAGTATTCCTCAAGATGTATCAACCATCATCATCTCATAATCTTTATCAAAATGGGCACTATCCTTATCCTCATGATGATCATTCAGTAAAAAGTAATCGATTACTACATAACTACAACTGGAATCGAACGCTCTCCCAGCAAATGCAGCCGTCCTTGCCTTCAGCTTCGCCTTATTATCCATCTGCCATGAACAAATTAAATCATGATGGAACATTTCGATCTATTCAGCCTCCACCTTCATTACCAACATCATCTTACATAGCACAACAGCAGTTGGCTTCTCAACCATCTCTACACTCTTGCATGCATGGCTTGTCTTCAAACTCGATGGCAACTGGGCGAACAGACAATATTCCGCAAAGCTTGTATTATCCAGGAGGTAAATAATTTGATTAAAATATCCAAGATAAAATTTTCCACAATTTACAGCTTACTATCCTCTCAATCTCATCCATGTCTTGGTCTGCTAGATTTAATCAAAGGCAGATAGGAGTTACCGCCTGAATTTAGATGGTGCAATAATTATTTTGACGCTGTCTTGTTCATTCAAGTCAGTTCCAAACACGCTCCATTTTTATCCCAACTTTTCTTCAGTATATTATCGTCCATCTATGAATTTCTTTATCCGTTTTTCTATTTTACTAATTTAATCTGACATACATACCTATAGCACAAAATGAAGACTTTTTTACAAAATGACTCACAGAGCGTAGCAAAATTCTTTTTTTTCTAATCGCTTAGAAACTAAATATAAAATAGACATAATTAATCCTATAACCGTCCCTTTGGTGATCTTAATGCATCAAAAACGTATCAGTGCGTACTTTTTCGCTATATTGGACTATATTTGGTATCGATGATAGAACTTTTACCCTTTTACGAAAACATTCGGCTTAAACAATGTCCGTTTTGATAGGCATGGAATAGAATACAGCGTTCGATAAACGATAAAAGAATTCTGCATCTTAGACTTGCCGCTAGGATAGCCACATTTTGCTGTCCTGAAATATAGCAATTTTATTTTGTTTTCAGTCTCAATAATTTCATCGATTTTGAGCTGATGGAACGACGCCGAGTACGACTCATTTGACAACCGAAGCAATATATATACAGCTATGCTATTTTTTTCGTCCGAATTTGAAAAGTTAGATCGCGCTAAATATTTATAAAATAGCTTTTATGTCACGTCGTGAGATTTGTGCAAGTTTGTGCAAGTATACGTATAACTGTATAGTAGTAGATTATATGGACGTACACTAACGAGATAGAGTAGAAATATAACTATATTATAGGGCAGTTTGCAAAATGACCGATTTCGCATCCGGTCTCGTTCAGATATAAAGACTGGATCATTTTCTATCTTTATCCTATGCCAATGGAAAAGCGGCATTTTAAGATTGAAAAGATTTTTATCGCATGATATCGTGCCCGCGAATGGAATAGGGAATTAACTGCCTTTAAAATTGGTTTCTGATTAAATTTTTACTAAATCCCAATTATGTTTCTAAAATTATCTAAAGGCATAAGTGAAATTTACGGTTTTGAAGTAGTTTTAGCCTATCTTAGCATAGCGACTGTTGCCCTTTGAATCAGTTGGTGTATGGCCTATTAAATAATTGCATGCCCTTTAAGCATACATCGTATTTCTAATAGCTATTACTTTAGTGCGATAATGCTGTATGAAATCTAATTCTAGGCGAACAAAAATGACTGTCAATCAAGGTTTTATCCACTTTAGGTTTATATACAGTGAGACTGTTTCATTAAGAAGGTATATAAATCGTCCTTCATTTTCATAGAAGATTGCAAATGCTATGATCGGTATATTGATTAATATTTATGCGCAATTCATTTAACTTAATAATTTAAAGCAAATCATTCCAACATTTAGCATACTTAACGACTACTATGAAATTATTTTAAGTAAATTCAATAATGATAAACACATTCCGTTGTAGTCAACGAGTGATATAATAAGGGTTTTAAAATATGGGTACTACAGCGAAGATTTTTCAAGTACTTTTACTTCAAATTTAATTATTAATGAATAACTTGAGGATGAAAGTTTGTTTCGATAACACTAGATCGATAATCAGCATTATTCTGAGATAATTAATTTTTTATTCCTTTATCAAAAGATTAGTATAATGTCGGCAGGGTTTCTTTTATTAGATTCAAATTTAAAAGTGCATAGCAATCGTACTAATAACGCTGAAAGATATCAAGAGGTGTATCGTTGATGAATTGATCAAAGACGGTCTTAAATCAAAGTTTTAAAACATTTATGATCCATCATTCAAGCATTTATAGGTAGAAAGTATTGACCTAATCATCTTCACTTCATCTTCGCCATTTTATATCATGCATATGCAACACATTCTTATGAAAGGATTGTAATAAGATTGTAAATAAGTATCAATTTAATAATTATAATTGCATTCCTATTGCTCATGGCAGTTAAGGGAAACAAAGTAAATAAATAAAATGTGATCAACCCAACGGTAGAATAGCAGATTATATTCTAAATAGCTTCCACTTGAAAAGAAAAGGCAATGTTAGCTACATAAAACGCTCAATTTGGCAGTATTCCATAGCTATATAACGCGGTGAATACTCAATTATTCAACTTTATCGAGCCATGATCCATATCAACTTTAACTTTAACTGATATTTTCAATTATTAATTAATAATGCTATATTGACACAGCTAATTAAAATAGATAATTGGATTATTAGTATTAAACCGCTAATCACCAAGATAGAGGGATTAATGTGAAAAAGTGATTCTAATGGACCATTGTTATTACAAGCACCGGGACCATAGAGTGAGAATATAGTAAGTCAATGTATAATGGCCATAATCTCGTTGACGAATGATATTGGTGAAAATATTGATTTTATATCATCAAAGGTAAATGATGGCAAGCATTTATTAGCTTTGGCCTACATATTGTTCAAGTGACGTCATATTGAAAGGCCCACGTAGATGTTTTATTTGCTAACCTCGATAAAATAACCGTTATTCTGTTATTGATGTCAGTCACTGAATCTAAGTGAAATTGCTTTTAAAGATGCGATTCCGCATCTGAAAGGCTACATTTTAATTTCCTTATTCTGATAGATGAATTGCTTATTTGTACATAACAGTCAATATGATAGCTCGAATATTGATTAAGGAAGAGTTGATGTAAATTACAATCAACATGTTGCCTAGATGCACGCGCTTGCTACCTTTTCGATCTTTGGAAAACAAATTCTAACACGGTTAAAATTGAGTTGTGGATAGTGTTCAATCATCAAATAGGCTTGTAGATAGGTGATAATGACGGATTCTATTCGAGATTTTCGTAAACGTTAAACAATTTCAACTGCTAGAAATAATTTCTTACAGTTCATCTTGTAATATGCAATATACTAATTGGATTAATTTCGATTCAAAATTGATCCTCGGAATCCCTTATTTTAAGGAAAATCTCTATAAATGCAGAAAATACTTGGATTAAGATTAAAAATAACCTAGCCTTCAGAATGCCATATATATTAATCAGAAACGATAGCGAATGTTTAACGATTTCAGCGAGAAGAAATAATTTTGTACAATTTATCTTGTTTCGTACGGCATAATGCTTAGATTAAGATTAAAGATCAATTTTGTTTCAAAATTGATCTTCAGGATGCCTTATTTTTTAAGGGAAACCTTTAGAAATGCAGAAATTACACTCGTATCCTCATACGCAAGTGTAATGAAAGTATCTCACAACTATTCTATCTTTGCTAAATTCTCGAACAGTAATTTTCTCATGCAGGTAGAAATTAAATGAAGGCTTTGACTACAGTGTTTAAAAATAGTTGAGTAATAATTAATTGGAACAAAATCTAACCTAAGGTATTCTAAGCTCAAAAGAAGTGGAGTCTAGTCTACTTCTAGCGCATCTATGCTGTTCCTAAATAAGTTTCCTTTCATTTTTTTTTACGGTAACAAAGTTGCTCATAATTGGCTTGAACGATAGACTTTTTCTCAACTAGATGATTCCTATTTCCAACACGAATCAATCTGAAAATATCATAACTCTTCTATTAACGTGTAACATCGTAAAAGTGATGAGCATCTTGATAATGACCTTAATCATGTATCAAGTCATATCAATCAATTTACCATACTTTGCTGACTGACTAATATTAATAATCAACAATTTTAATACGTCTATCGTAATTAGCAATCATCTGATGCTAGCTTCGCGATAACATCTATTCTTAGAAACCTAACTATTTTTAATATAGCTATCAATATAATCAAATATAAGGTGCATCACTACAACAAGTAACCTATCTTCGTCATGACTCATCGGACGGCGAAATGCCTAAAAATTATATTTCTACTAATTTGGTTTTATACCCATTTTTATCCTATGCACGTAGTAGATCGTTTAAAAGTTATAAGACAAATAAAGATTTAAGTTTAGCCCTCCTTTTACTGATCATAGAATAAATTGAATAGCTTTGATCCTAACACATAATTACTACGCTAATTGTGATAAATAATCCGATAATAACCTTATCGATGCTCTGTTTACCATATTTCATAAATGGAATTACATTATGTCAATCCTCTGACAATTAGTGAATGAATCTATTGTCGAATGCCCGAACCCTTTGCATTCATCTGAACATACTAAATGATGGATATTTATGTAAGAGTTTATAGCTTTACTTAGTGATATAATTAATTCCAGATTAATTGAACAAATAGCAAAGGAGCCCATAGTATCACTATAATGAAATAGTGTATTAGAATGAGCAATTGCCTTACCTGATAAGTATTTGTTTGCTTTACTGTTGTAATAACTTGAAATTTTAACTTGAGGAAGATGACAGTGCAGAACTGCTTTTACTTCTCAAAAAATGACGCAACAATGGAGTTACTAAGTTTTATTTCATTTGCTCATACCAGCTCTTATATGTAAGTGTCTATTGTGCGAACATTTTAAACGAGAAAAATTTAATAATCTTGGTTATCCCATTGCCAAATTGCAAAATTGATACGATAATATACCTATTCTAAAGTCCTATTTTATTCGTCATTCACGACAACACTGGAAATTTATCATTATCTTATCAACTATTGCTTCCTTATAATTCACTTTACTCGCGATCCAATGACCTTATTTTCAAGTTATAATAAAAATAATAATTAGATCCATTATTTACATGCTTATGACATCATTTTAGTACACTAACTTAAATAGTAGTTCTATTTAAAGTAACTATTAGCCTTCTTTCTGCTGGCATTGGATCTACCTGAAACTAATAAAAAACAACTAATATTTATTAAAGCAAACAGATTGATCAGACTGACGTGCTCTGCTAGAAATTTCATCATCATCAGCTTTTAGAGTTGTGTTCATTTACTTGATTATTACAGCATAGTAGGATTGAGCGATTGTGTAGAACGGTCTTGTGATAATTAATAACTGCTTATATATTGAAAAAATTATTTAGGCATAATCTAGTGACATCATTTTCTTTACCTGTTCGTTATTGTTCTAAATTTATTGCATTTGTTTATTTTTAAGATAATCAACGAGTTACTGAAGCTATGCTTTAATACGTCTAACGATTGATCACGTACTATTTGGCACTTCCTGATTATTATTATGCTTGAAGGCATTGGAAATAAATTATTCCGCTTTTTTAACTCTATAGCGTTCTAAAAATATCATCATTAAATTTGATAATTCTATTTACTAAAAGCTATAGAAACAGGATACTCTAACGCTAAATATTTTTCATCGGAAGTATCTAAAATCGCTGTATTAAAATATTCCTTTCTTAAAAACTCTTCTAAAGTTCAATAACAAGCATTAATACAACATGCTACTACTACAATATAATCTGCATTACGATGGAGTTTAGGAGATTATTACAGCTATTGCAACGTTCCATATAAAATTACGAGTTACATGGTGAATTGGTGGGAAGTAATGACTTGAAAAATAGCACAGGCAGTATATCAATAATTTATTTTTGCAATAGTGATATCTATTTCTGACAAAATCTATAGTCGATACATTATATATTATGACATTATTACACTAGCATATCAGTAAGTAATTGTTACAATAGTCATATTCAATAATGATAAGATACATAATCGATATATTATAGTATGACATCATCAAATCATGGAATTGTAAAATAGAGTTGGAACTGAATAAATTAAACAATAATAGTATAATGACTTCATTTGTAAAATTGTAAACAAATAAACATGATGACTAACGTGAAAAAAAGCATCACGGTGACATAGCAGAGTGATAATCGTACAGTAACTCTTTTTGGAGCGGTTGAATATTCTTAGTAATATTTACATTTTTGTAATGCTTATATAAGTGGCAATAGCTGGAATATTTAAACCTGTAGGTACTATTGAAACTACTGCATATGTGACAAATAAGAATTTCCTTTTCCAAATTTGTTTCAAACACTATGAGCCTATCTGATGAATATTATAAAATATACATATACTCATTGCTGTGTTACAGATCATTTCATTCTTGCTATAAGCTTAACTTAAAATTTTGTACTAGATATCTTTGCACTTACTACGTAGGTGAGATCGATCGGTCAACTTTTTAAAATTACCGTAATATTTAGATAACAGCATAGCATTTGTTTCTTAAAATGCCAATCCGATAGTGTTTAATAAAATGACTGCTTCGAAGAATTAACAGGAACTTGTGGTGGCTAAATATCAATACGTGCATAAATACCTGATACGATCATAAATCAAATCTGATAAAGACCACCATTTGGTAACATACGTACGTGCCTATGCAAATGGACGACATGAATTATGTAGAAATGTTTTCAAAAGTGCCATTCTGTGCTCTAAATGAAATATTTCTCTTGATGCTATGATTACTTGGAGCAAACAAAACGCAATTAAAACCAAAAAGCTCATTAAAATCAACCAATGTGATGGTCAATTTTGCATATTGCCATACTTTATGTAGCATTTTATCTTTATCATTTATCTGAGCTCGTGAACACAGCCACATTAGTGTAACATGAAAGAAAAATAAACTGAAATACTGTATTCTCTGGTCGAGATAATATACAATCCTATATTGAAAATAATATGAGTGATGAGTCTTTCAAATTAAGAGTTCCAAGTGCATTATGGCGCTATGTATATGCTATAACAATTGTTAATATTACCAATCGATCACTTTGTTTTTTGTAAACTAAAAGGACTCTTGAATGTTTTCATAGTTGTTAATTATATGAACCTTGAATGGATGGATTATGCCACTCGCCAAGGATTCAGTAAACGTAAAGGTGGACAGATTCGATTTTCAGTTAATCAAACAACGGATCTAGAAAAGAAGTTTGAAACACATAAGTATTTGTCACCAAACGAGAGAAAGTTGTTAGCTGCGCGAGTGAAATTAACTGAAAAACAAGTTAAAACATGGTTTCAGGTAAGCGATAGCTTGTTTTCGTGATATTTTTTCGATTTGCCATAGACTGATCTTAGTTTCTGTATGTATGGCAATATTTGGTTGCAGATATAAAGAGTAATAACTGAGAGGCCAATTTACCTGTAATATCCTAGTTTGCTCATAATAAGAGTAGTAGTAGAATGTATCTCATACATGACTTGGCAACACTAGACTATGTATCGACGTCAGATTTTCTATAATTGATCAGCGCATGTTGCACTTATACATATTCATTTATCGCAAGCAAAGCAATACCTTAGCAATCTGTTGGAAAATGAAATAATTCGTTTTATTTTCCTTTCATTAGTAACTATCTCACGTGAATTATTTGACTGTAATAAAGTGTCTTCAAAATAATAAAACAAGAGCTACAGTTTCTTATAAATATCACTATATTACTTATAAATAAGGTTCGTCCTACAAATACCAAGAACTATCTAGTTAGAATTAGACTATCTAAATTGTTATCGCTAATTTCATGAATTATATATACAATTTATGCACAATCAGTTACAGAATAATTTCTTTAGCAACACAACTATACCATGGCAATTAAATCATCGGATTAGATCTAAATTCACTATCGCGATCTGTTCGTAATTCGTATTTCTAATTAACCGTCACAATACTAATCTTACCGTCACAGACGGTACCTCGCACAACCTATATCTCGAAATCTTAATTAAATACCTCAATAGAATTATCTACAATATGTACTGCAGTCATCTTATACTTATAAATACTTATACAATCTTACAATTAAACGTTCAATTCATATATTTTCGCACAATCCTATAATTTTATTCTTAAGCTAATCTGAAACTGCACCAAATTGACAAAAAGCAGACTGAACTGTTAGTAACCTCATTAGCAGAGAAATATTAGGCCAAGATTAGCTGCTCTAATGGATTTGTTAATTACATTTAACTGCAGCATAAATTAATTGTACTTGCGATGGATTGTTAATATTATAGTGTAAATATATCATACCTAGCTGCTACCTAATAGTTTTTACACTAACTAGATTAAATTTCATCAAATAGAATCGTCGAGCTAAATGGCGAAGATTAAAGCAGAAGAGCCCAGGTGAAGGTAACAAATATTTTAGTAATCTTGAATTTTACTATGATCTTTATTTCAATTATATGAGAAATAAAACATATTGAAGAATAAAAAGGCATTAAAAGTATTAGAAAAATACCGATTCCATATCAGATTTTAGAACAAAAAGTTGCTATGTCATAAATATGTACGGTAATTGATCACACACTTAAAAAGCAATATCATGTTTTGTTTATTTGTAGGGAATCAAGAAAGTGATAATAGTGATATCGAAGATAAAGAAAGCCTTAGCGATGATGATGATGATAGCAAGATGTCGAAGTATTAGTTACTTTTAGATTTGTCACGCTTATTCTTCTATAAAGATCCTTTTCTTATAATCGGTATCGGAATTATACAGACTCTTCCTAAATGATTACAGCTCACGCTAAGATATTTTTAAAACAAAAGAATATATGCACTCTATAAATTAAGAATAATGACGAAATAAAGTATGCTAAAAGGAATAATAAACCTTTTGAAGGCAAAGTGATTCCATTTCAAGTACAAAACTTCAACGTATCTAATCGTTTTAAAAGGCAAATTAGATCTAATGATTATGTTCACTTTTTTAAATGACCATGACTTTATAATTAGAAATATGCTACCTCTGTCAAATTATGTAAAGTGAGATTTTAATAGCTCTTGCACTACGTCTAAAGTAAGTTTAATACCTCAAACCGTTCCAAGATATGTACTATTATGTTTTATGACACAAGATTTTATTTGCAATCGTTAACGAAAGTTCTATTTTTAAGCGATTAATAATTCTTTTATGTGATAACAAAAACTTGTGTTAAGTCCAAAATTTCAACTTTTAGAATTTTAGAATATCAGAACATTAAAGCAGATTTGGCAAAAGTAATCTGTAAATCGCTGGCCATCAGACTCATAATAGCAAAAACTAAAACTATTGCTAAATACTGCAATAATTTTATCAAAATTGTATTTACTTTGAATCATATCTTGCACATACTTAAAGATTCCACTATTTGGCTCCATTGGTGATTTTATAATCTACGTTTACCTAAGTTTAGCATGCACAATCTTAATAAATGTGATATTATATTAGATAAAGGAATGTTTTTATTAGAGTTTGATTAAAACTTTTGCGACAAAAATTGAGCTCATAGAATTTTATATTTAGGATATCGTCCAAAATATTGACTACCGTAATGTTAATTGCGAATCTTAATAATGAATAGATGAAGACCGACAGTTGATAAAGTTCACTACGATAGTCAATATAATATAATGATCAAATTATAAATCATAAATTGTGCAATAAGGACCAATTATAAGCGTCCCTTCGAAGAAGGTAATCGAATTTTAGGAATAAACTAGCCGGAGGAAGTTTATCATCATGTTGATAAGCGTGGCAAGTAATTAGATTATCACCGACCTATTCAGTAGTAACAGCAAGAATAGCTACTTTGTTCTAACGCATTATTTCCTAAATTTATAAATACGATAATAATAAGCGTGGATACCAAAATCCAATTAACATTATATATGCCATTACGAATGTGATGACGTATATTCATACTATGTGTCTTCAATTTTATTACTGTTGTCTATTTGACCATCATATACCGATATACTAACTTTTTGGACATTATTACAGCCTAATATATTATAATTTATTTGAAGATTTACTAGCAATGTTGGGGCTAATTCTATGAAGAGTCTAACATTGATATATAATTTCAATTATTGCATAGATTTATCATAATAGCTTACGTAGTAGTAAATACGTAGTAATGACGTCTTTTGCTAATTAATTATTAATTGATTTATCTAGCATTTATTATCCGCAATAGTTTCGTCGAGGTTTACTTACTAGCTAAGCAGTTTATTCTTCATATATCATCTGAATAAAAAGTGTTACAATTTTTTATTGCATTTTAATCCTGTTTCGGAATGCGTGAATAAAGTTGGATGTAATTTCAATCATTCTGGCTTTGGTATAACTGTTTTAATGAGAAGATTCCGATAGAAATTGTTGTGGCGATCGAACTTACTAATTGGTACATGGTAAGATATTCAGTATTATCAAAGAAGTCATGCTCGTTGGCTAAACACAATTTGGAACATTTAGCGAAGGTAAATTGCATTTTAAACTATAAATTCTTAATATTTTTACCTTAGCCTGGAATAGCCAACAGTATTTATTAGACAGTTTATCACCATCCTACTGGAGCTTATATGTTGTCACTTTTTATAATACAATATTTAACAGTTAGTAGAGAATAGTTATAGATGTTGAAATTGTTGTAGTTGATAGTAATTCTGCTATATTATTGGACCTTGAATTTAAAGACACCTACGACTATATTCCGATACGAGAAAAGTATTTAGCATACATTGGTCAATCTTTATTGTTTGAAAGCTTATAAAATTGATAAATTGCCTATTTATGAGCCTGAGCTAAAATGTAATACTTCAAATTTACAAGTTCCCGTGCCGTTTCTGACTAAACAATATGCACATAAAAAATCGTCACACATTTTCACCTGTACGACAGTATCAACAAACGAAGATGCAATCAAAATTGAAGGAGATCATTCTAAATTTCTTTACAGTTGCTTAGCAAATTGCATGATTTGTGTGACAAGAATACCTTAATAATAAATAAATTCACCAACGCTACGGCATAATTTCTGTAGTGAATATGTGAGGATATCGGCAAATCTTAGCACGAAATTTGCTTAGCCTAAAATACTCTGCAAAATATTGTAAAAAAGATCAATTCGAAGAAAGTATCAGTTTAAAAACTTAGCAGATTTCAATCGACCGGTTGCCGTATTAATGACAGTTCATGCTGATATTAAATGACACTCATATATAAATCAGTTGATAGATAAAATCATCATGATCATCGTCTCAAAGCGATTGTGTCCCTTACAATGAAATGAAAGTTGATTGATCGATACAGCATTTTCAAAATTATACAGTTTATATTAGTTTATTGAAATAAATTCAATATCTCAGTTCCGATATGCTTCCCTTACTTCCATGGGACTGAAATTATGAATTTATTATAATAATACTCAACTCTACTAGTATACCTCATATTACAACGTAGTATGTATGCCAGTGCTTTTCAATTTTTCGTAATTAATATTAAGATATTTACATCCTAGTCGTAAAACTCTATGGATGTTATTATCGTTACTGACCGCGGCTGGCTATGCTATCATTTCAAGTTCTTACAACGTCGAAGATTTTAGACGTTAAGCAAGAAGATTCATTGCTTTCATTAGGCGGAAGGAAGATCAGTCTCATCATCCATTTTTACATGAATAATTACAATAACCGGCGTTCGTGATATTCTGATAAAATTTTTACTTTCAGATAAAAAACAATGATTACGTACCCATTTAATTTCAATTTCATAATTTTGTCCGTCTGGGAAATCAATTATTCAAAGACAAAATTTTCGGATAGATTCACGATTCTGCTATCACGAATAGTGCTCTCTTTATTAGCACTAAATTGCTTTTTAATTTGTGTTCACCAGCATAAGCAGAAGAGTAAAAGTAGAGACGAAATAGTGATAGCATCGTTTTTGCATTAGATTGGTTGCTGCGTTGTGCTAGAAAACTAACGTAATAGCACTAGCTTGTATAATACAAAAATAACGGTATAGATTTATAATACAAGTCCGTAATTTGCTGATGTGATGGTATTTTGCAACCACATCAAAAGACTCAATTTGTAGCAGTATTTGACCTAATGGTCTCATTTTCTGTTTTGCACCAAGGGAAATGCGGCGTACGTGTATTCGTAGTATTGGAGTTGACTTCTTTAATATTAGTTCTTCAGCGAAGAGCTAATTGTTAGCATCTTATAAATTAGCATGCCCCCAAACTAGATATGCTCAAGTTCAATCCTCGAACGATTCAGAGACATGATGATGTATAATCAAAGTTAAAATGTACTGCCAATTTTAAGTTCAAATGGTATTTATACTGTAAGTGACTGGCAGTCTAATCTTACTCAAGAAGAAATATGTTATGCAATGTGCTTGTAAATGCCATTTTAATATTGGGTTTGCTCTCTCGCATAGATTATTAGTCGTAGTGGCGTTAACTATAGTATAAGTATAGTAGTATCATATATAACGTATTTTGTATTTACTGATAAAAATATAGGCTATGTTTGCCTCAAGCATCTCTTAAGATGCTTTTGAAGATGATTGCTGTATATAATTCTCTTTATAGTACATCTAGATTCTCACATTAAAAGGGTTAAAAAGTCCTCAGATTTTTTGCATTAGTAACTTAATATTACATTGCTGCAATAAAAATTGAGGCGTGTATTACCTAGCAAAGTCGGTTAGCCATCGAAAGGTTATGGTTTATTTGCATAATAGATGACTTACTGCTGACTCTATGATTCCTTTTCTACTCAAATACGCTATCAAGGACTTTCTTAATACTTCTTCTACTCATTGCATTTTAACTGTACAAAGGAGCCGTCATGGTTCGAATTGTTGCATTTCAGCTCTTTAAGTAAAATAATTATTATATTCATTATGCTAGGCTAATAGCGAAGTATATGCAGGATTTCTATATTCAAAACAAGCTAAAGTTATTAATAATAAAATCTAAGGCAACATTCTTAAATTTTAACGTTATGATTGCTGAGATCTGGTTAAGATTTTATAGCAAGTGATTATATTAACTATACATACACACGAGGCGTTGCAATCTCCAAGACTATGAATCGATAGCTAGTAGGTTTCTCTTTCTATATAATAATCAATGCAGCTACTAAAGAGCTTTATGATTTAACAAGACAATAATGCATGGCTAATTCCTACTGAATATACATTAGTAAAGAATTTGAATTGTAAACGCAGCGTAACAAGAAATATCTTATAAGACAAAGAAATATTATCGCCATTATAAAAAATCCCTTTTTGTTTTTATATTTTTTGGTTGTAAATTAACACTGGGAGAAAGTATTA